CCTCGACACACTGAGTGTATCAAGCACTAAAATCCCAGGCTTCCATCCGCGACCTAGCGTAACAATGGGGAAAAGTCACGTGAGCTGTACTACTTGCTTCTAGTCTAGTATTACGGTCATAGTATTACGAGTCGCTCTATGTGGTAGACTAAACTTTGATATATTTGTGTTCAATAGTTGCGGATAGATAACAAACAGAATGCGTGTGAGCTTTCTCGGCCCCTCAGGATTCGACCAAGCTATGACATTCTATTTCGCTCGCTTCCTTCTCCTCGCGGTAGTCCACGCAGAGCTTATTCTGAGGTTGCCAATCTCACTAGATGTATATGATCCTGGTAGGCCAGATCTTTTTCTCATCGCCGACATCACCGTTGACGCTATGAGTTTCCGACAATTGGTTGATACAGGCTCTCCTCTAACGTTCTTCATTTGGCGCAAATGGTACGAAAGTGTCAAGCCCGGTGGGTGTAAAACTATTCCTTCCAAATGTTATGCGTGCCTTCCCGAGTGCACTCCTGGGCCAACAAAAGTCTTCTCCTTCCAAGACGGTTCGGAAGTCACACTGTTTAAGCATTCGGGAGCATTCTTCTTTGGAGGGAAGGTGGTGCGGAACATCGACTTCGGCCTGATGGCGAATTTCAATTTCGAGGATACGTTCCCTCCGTCACTGATTGGCCTCGGATACCCTCATAAAGAAGCGGCACCTTACGAACCGCTGATCAAGCAACTGTTGGACAAACCGAAGGCTCAGAGGCTCATAGGGAAGAACATGTTCTCTGTGTATCTCGACTCTACCGCCAAGCCCACCGGGGAGCTCCTCCTCGGCGGGCAAGATCCTACAAAGTACGTTGGGCCGATGGTATTCGTCCCAAGTGCGAAGGATTACTGGAAAGTGGCACTTATTGGAATGAAAGTGGGAGCAAACGCAGAGGTTAAGTTCGGGAAGCCTATGTCTACTGAGATCGACACTGGCGCCACCGCCATTTTCATGCCGGAATCTTACAGGAATAAACTCCTGAAAGATCTCCAGTCCACTGCGACCAAGCCCGTAAAGTTCCAGCCTTATGAGGACTCGTTTGAGATCAACTGCGCTGATCGCCAAAGTCTTCAGCCGGTGACACTGTTCATGAGGGGTGCTGGTGGACAGAGTGTTCCCCTGGAGATCCCTCAAGAGCAATATATCAGACTCCATGGTCGCCACTGCTTGTTGCTCTTCGGGCTGACCGACAGCGACACCTGGGCCATTGGCAACCTCGTCCTTCCTGGGCGATACTTGCTCTTCGATTACCAAGAGAATAAGATCGGTTTCGCTAAGACCAAGTAGCGTACACTATTCTCCATTAGGGGACACAATGATTAGTCAGAGAGGGTTCTACTGTATTCTTGGACATATAGTCAACATTCTTAGAGGAGAGACTAGTTTTAAACTAGTAGTTCATGGTAGTGTGCGTTTGTCCGACACTAGATTGCTCCCTCTGATGTCTCCTACTGTGCCTACGCAGACATCCTTAGCTGTGCACTGATCTCTCTTGGCTGGCTCGAGCTTTGTTGGGTTGCATTAATGGGGTTTCCTGGATTTCCGCCGTCTCCCCCCGAGTGGCCGCATTGTCGATAGCATAGTCGTCATACACCAGCATCACCCGGCATCTGATAAAGCTCCTGGGGCTCCCAGGACGACACTATAACTGTGAGAATAGTCGCAGGACTAAAGGCTTATGCTCGAGGCTTCTTATTACGATTATCCATTTGTCGACGATTGCGAAGTAAAAATCAGTCCTCATTCGATGAGGTCTATAGTTGCATTAGGGTAGACTGCTTGCCTGAAGTGGAGACCTTTCCAGCCGATAGGGCAGAGTTTGCAGTACGATTATCGCCGTAGAGGATGATGTTGGAGAATTGTTGACCAGTGTCAAGCTTATAGGACACGAGTGTAGATAGTGCATTGTAAGCCGTGGTTAGTTCCTTGACGTTAATTTGTAGTGCACGTTCTTGGTGGGTCCATCGCCATTGCTTCCTGAGAACCGGCTCGCGTTTTGGGTAGCCACCATAGAACCTAGTAAGTGACTTACTGTAAGTCGGAGGAGTCGAACCAAACATGAGTATTTTCATCGATATGTCGGCGGGTTGGTATAGGTGGGTTGGCCTTCAGTAGTTGTTGCCAGCGTCTCAATAAGTCGAGGGTCTTGTCGTCAATGTTGTCGGTCCACTTGTGATCGTTGACAGCCCGTAGACGAGATACTAGCGCGGCGAGACAGTTATTGATGATCAAGATGTGCCATGGTAAAAAATCCCATGCTTGCCAGAGTGTATTGGGAGTTACCGTCGTCACAGATTTCATGACCTAGTACCAGTAGATCATTAGAGTCCGGGCGGTTCAGACTGTCGGTAGTCAGGTGCATGCCATAGCCAGCAAAGTGGGCTATGGCCTTGTCGATGTCTTCGGGTAGGCCGCCGAGGTAGAGGAAGTCTTCCATATAACTTATTAGTACACCAGGATAAGTGCCGAGCCGTTCCAATTCCCCGATTGCATGCGCGATGATGATCTCGAGAACTTGGGGATTGGTAGAGTTGCCGTCGGTACTACCCATGTAGGTGTAGGTCCAGTTCTTGCCTTTGTAGTTGATTTGACTGAGTAGCTGTAGATTACGACCAAGTTTAGTGGCTCTGTAGGCGTCACGTATGTCCATGGCGTGAGCAGTTATTGATGATCTATACTTGTTGATGATGCGAGGGATTTTGCTTTGGCAGTCCTTGATGGTATACTTGTGGATGGTCTTCTTGACGAGGTTGTTTGTCCTAAGGGTTGGTTGAATAGGTCGGACACGTTTTCTACCAACTCGTGGATACCAGTTGGACCAACTGGCAGTTGGTGGTGTAGTTGTTGACGTCGGCAGATTGAGTTGGTTGTAGTTTGCCTTCTCTGATGAGAGCTTCAATTCGTTGTTCAGCTTGGTGACGTTCATCAGTGGAGGCTTTTATGAGGAAGTAGTGAGTAGATGGTACAGGCCTGGGTTGATTGTCGAGTGCCAGTTGTAGTAGTTGGTCGCTATAGTCGACATAGTACTCCTTATTGCCGTCGTGGTGCTTAAGAATACCGATAGTGCACCATTCTTTGCTGTAGATGGTGTCTATAAGTTGGTAGCCCTCAGGTGGTAGTGGGAAGACCGGTGTAGAGCCTCCCAGTATGTCGACGTTGTAGTCGATGTCTTCCTCAGCAGCATTATGAGAGGACTTGCCTTTGAGTGCATCGATATGATGGCATTCATGTGTGCTGGTCTCCGATGTCGCCGTTAGGACTGTAGGCGTAGTTGAAAAGGAAGCAGTTGGGGTCTTCTTAGACGATGGCTGGGTAGTACCTTCGCATAGGAGTGGGTCGGATTCATCTGTGGGCTTCGGCAATGATGAACCAGTAGGACTTGTGGTTGTTGATGCCGAAGACGTAGGTGTAGAAGATGACCGGTATTTGTGTAGCGTGTGTGAGTTACAGAGGTATTTTGAAGCTTGTGTAGTGTTACCTTCGGTAGTTATTAGAAGACCGTCGGTGTTGAAGATGGAGTGTCCATGCCGGGTAGTCCGTCAGAGTGCAATAGTATACCATCTTTGATGATCGCTGGTGACCACGTCAAAGTGGATGGTTCGGACTCCGAGCAGTGGTCCACTTCCAACTCCGAACTTCGGAGTTTTCATCACAGACGGGGAAGTCGATCTTGAGCTGGCCGAGGAAAAAAATTTAATTTCCTGATTAACGGAATGAGTTAACGAGTGTAGTGTCTGTGAAATCCCTGGAAGGAGGTATCACCACGCGCACGCCCATACCAACACAACGCACTCGAAAGATTGGGAGACAATTGTGTAACGCTGAAGCACCTTAGCGAATCATGAATGAGAAATCGATCACTATAATAGAAGTTCTATTATAGAATTGTAGTTCGCAATAGTAGTACGGCTCTTAATGAGAGCTGAGCTACTCGCGAATCCGACCGTGGGTATCGGTCTACAAGGGAATTCTGAAATTTTAACCCACCCACTACCAACCCTGAATACGGCGATGTCAATCGCCAGTGACGTATGGATGGTATACTACCAGAACACCTGTAGTACTGTACTACTAGTACAGGCTTCTCACTTGATGACCATGCATGGCCCGATTGGACGGTTAGATAGACTATCCAACATGATGTCGATCATTTTGACCCATTTTATTTGACATCATATGTCGCCGACGATTAGGCGGCGAAGGGCCATACATTCACAATCTATGGTCACACAAGTGAGTATTATCTGCTAGTTTGACCATCCAAGAGCTACAGCGGCCTAAAACTCACTGGCGCCATGACATGGAAAACCGAAACTAACTCGCCACAGAGTCACAAGGCTCGTGTTCGGGTTTCATGTTTAGGTTTTCCTCCCGCATACCCGTATTCGTGGGATTTTATTTCCCTTCATTTTTCCTTCAAAATTCAAATTTGCTTCGGAACTTCCGGATCGGAAGGAAATAATTTTTCTATCTTTCCTCCCGTGTGCCACCCTTGCTGCTGCTGCTGCAGAGCTCGCACGCGACTCTCTGAGAGAGTTGCTATTCAGCAGACTCTTGAAACGGTCATTCCGGAGTCTCCTTACTCCCTCACACAGACAGAAAGAAACGGCATCGAGTAGACCCACGGTGGGTCACCCACCATGAACGGTGGCTATGGGTAGTTCAAATACTCTATTCAGACAGCTCACTCTTGCCGCTCCCATTGGGACCTACGATCCCAGCGAGGTTGGGTCTTGTCTTCAGCAACATGTACATCTTCAAGCCCAGTATATGAGCTTTGTGTGTTCTTAGGTCTCGCTGATATGGTGAGTGGTACTCTGAACCAGCTCGAGAGGATGAAATCGAACATGTAGAATGCCGGTGGAGGCTGACATATGTTCGCCATGATACGACTTACAGTTTGTTATTGTAATCTCAGTCACGTAGCATTTCTTCACCCCATTCATTCTATTAACCTTAGGGTACTTTGGTACCTGCTTTGGATAAGAGGATGCTCAAACACGTATGCTCAAGGTGTCGGAAGGACGATGAACTACCTCCCAGACATAATGAGCTGGTTAATGATTAAATGCGACAGATGAATCATTAATTTTCAATGTACCACACCTCTGCTCTACTGGGATAGCTGCCATGCTAGTTGAAACAACTGTCTTAACTAGACATTGTCTCGAGGATTTCCGTGAACACACATGAGCTTTAGTTGTTTATTTCGTACTGCATGGATCACTGCTATACAGTATCGATGAAGCAGATAGTCCCAGAAGGCGCCTGTATGAGAGCAATCATACACGAGGATAATACGGGCACACCATCAAGTGTGATTCCCAAGCACGGGACACTACCACAGCTGGAGATCCCGTCAGGTCGTCCGATTCGGAAGACTCCCCCCAACTTGACAAGCAGATTGTCACATTCTACTCCATGAGAGCATCAAGGAGTATGCTAGCAAGGATGATAGTCCATAGTCGAGAGGATTTGGGTTGAGTGTTAGCTCAGACCCAACAACGAACTCGTATGCACTCGCTCTTCCTCGAGAGCGGGAGGCTCATAGTCGGTCTCAGGAGAGCCTCTCCTGGAGATGGGGAGGAGAATCCATGTACTTCACAAATACGATGAGTTACAACGAGCCTTCACTTTGATGCATCTTCACTAAACCATTATATGGAGTAGGGCCCGAAATTGTACAGCACTCGCACGACTCTAGCACTGGATTGGAAGGATAAAGAACCATTCTCGACTTCGATAGACTTAATAAAGGTTTCACCACCTCATCATGGACACTTTTAAATTACTTCACTCTTGAATAGTCGGAGGCATCCCAGGCTCAGAGCTGTTAGGTGGACCTGTCAAGCGATAAGAAGCTGAGGCCAGAAGGCTTACGCCCGCCCACCTTCAGAATAGCTCCAACCTTGGAATGCATCATTCTTCACTGTAGGTGAGGACGCAGCAGCCCCTTTGAAAGCACGTTGCTTCACAGCCTAGTGAGCATCCATATCATTATTAACCCACAGATGTGAGTCCTACTTCAACCGGTCTGTCAGTGAACTCTGATGAAAAGTTTTTCTTCGTTTCACTAGGATCAATCGGTGGCTTGATCTGCTTCCGGAATAACTTCGCCTACAAACCCATCATGTATATCACCCCAACTGAGTTTGCGTACCCAATCAGTATCCTTCAACCACGGATGTTCCTTGACTTCTTTTGCTCCACCCTTAGATCCAAGCCTTTCTTTAGGGTCGGCTTCTAATAGCCTGTCACACATATTCTGAGCTGATGTCGATATCCAAGGCGGATACGTGAGGCTCTCTCCCGTAACTGCAAGGCCGAAAACTATCATTGAAATCAGCAGCAGCAGCAGCAGCACAAGGAACAATCACCTCTTCTGGCGAACATCTCGTCCCAGTTACCCTGGAAGTGAGGTAAGCTACCAGTGAGCATGACGTAGAGTAGGCAACCGAGGCAGTAGAAATCGAGAGGCTTCCCGTGGCCTAAACATCGTACTCACAGGAAGGTTCTACAATATAAGGTTACTACCCTCCCGTTTGATCATCTCGGGGCAGAGATACCCTGCTGTACCCACGAAGGATGTAAGCTGCGAGGCAGGGTCTGCGAGAATCCCTCAAGAACCGAACACACTATACCCCATTAACTCAGCTCTGAACGCCATTCGAACACACCTACTTCTCGCCGTCTCACCTGGCTTGCTCTCTTTGGACAGACCGAAGTCCGTCAAGCGAACGTGGCCATCAAGGTCCAATAAGACATTCTCTGGCTTCAAATCTCTGTATAGTACATTCTGGGAGTGTAAATACTCGATACCCAGGAGAACTTCACAGAAATAGAATCTAGCTTCAACACACTTGAGCTCGAGGCAGTCAACTTGGCATGCTACTTCGCAGTTGGCTCATCAAAATGATTTTGCTGCGTCATGTGGTAGAAAAGTTCCCCGCCGGCACAAAACTCGAGGACGAAATACAAGTGTGAACAAGTCTGAAAGGCCTGAGAGGAATGAGCACCTTATGCGCTACTACTCGCCAGAGCTGCTGAGTGTTACCCAATACATAGTGACTATAAAGGGATGCCTGGCCTTAGCCAACACTTTACGCTCCATCATAGCACGCTCCATCCTCTTATCATTAGAAAGGATCCTCTCCTTGGTCATCATCTTCACAGCATACAGCTTGCCGTTCTCTCTACGACGGACCTGTGTTAGATGTTAATCCCTCAAGGGCCTCAACAACGTATAGATCACTAAGATCACGGAGCAGCTAGCTCCGTCTCCAATGACCTTCAAGAATTCGAAATCCGTGAGAGTTGCTTTCGTAGCATATGGGGAAGCTCCCAGATCCTGAAGTGGCCGCAGGATAACACTACGAATCCGGTCCGTGACTTTCGGAGGAGACAGACTGTCTGACAGTGCTCGCTCATTGGTACCTCAACACTGAAAATGGCCTCAAGGTCTTCGTTGGGTCTTAAACATGTAAGGGGCCTCTTGAACTCCATCAGCCACGAATCCTACGACTGCCCTACTAGCATAGGCTGCAGAAAATCGCTTTACCTTGGCCTCCTGATCGTTTTTATTTCCAAACTCTTTCAATCCAACTACATGACCAGTTGTTGCACCAAGTGCACGGAATTTTTCTTGTGCTTGGTCCACCAACCACCCGCATGAAAGGTCAGCAGCCGGCTTAGGGAACTCAACTACTACAACCCTTTGGTCACAACCTGATAGTGACCGCTCAATAGCACCAGCTTGGATCCCCATCAACATACCTTTGCCCTGCTCATCATACTTGAGAAAGCCGTGTATGTTCACTGACATCATCGACTTCCCTGAGACTTTTCACTCTGGGTAAGCCCGGCCGAAGATCTCTCACCTGACTGCTGCTCCTGAGGTGATTCGCGATGTTTCTTCAATGAGAGGATCTTCCTCATTCGTTGAGTCGTCGACGATGGGGACGTTGGCTGGGCCGTACTACTAGCAGTCTCCTCACTCCCTTCTGTACCCCTGGTCGGGTGGTTTCCCATGAAGGAAAAATGCCGCATCTGTTCAGCTAGTAGCAAAGTAACAGGTAGTGCCCAAAGATGCTTATCAGTTGTGTCTTTAGTCCCGTCTGGTTGTAGAATATACATCGAATATATGATCAGAGACTGAAAGGCCGAGAAGAACTCCGAGATGGGTATGCATACTATGCATTGCAAAGACCAGGGAAACAATTGTTCGCGAAAGGATTGTGGGTGGTACTGCTGCTGACCTCCTACCGATTGCGCGTCGACGCGTGATAGCAGCGTGATTTCGTTACGCTTCGATTCAGCGTGTTACGTGATGTCTTACAAGAATGTCACGTGCCTCATAGGGCATAGTGCATACACTTCCGACTGTGAATTGACTTAAATTGTACGGCCTCACTGATGGTCTTACTCCCTCCTGGCCTAACAGCCACAAGCTGGACAGAGAATGGGCGGAGCCTTAACACAAGCCAATGGGTATGAAGATGCGGCATAATGCAACTAGTGAGAGTATGATCATTTACGTTGCCGCTTGATACTCTCAGAGCTAAGACTCTCATCACTGGCCTTCGATGGCCGCTTCTTTGCTGATAGGTCAAGCGTCTCCTTTACTCCTGGAGGCATCATATATATCACCACTGCCGTTAGATTATCATCAGAGAGCCGCTCATAACTACGTCGTAGTATCCGTCGAGCCCCCACTTCCGGCCGGAGTGATGGCTTGCTGGAGAGGGGTGATATCAGAGATATTACCTGAGGACGATGTGTAACCACGGCATAGACCGTAGACAGTGAAGCCCACCTCTTGATCAGTGAGGACATCGTAAATGCCATCTGTAGCCAGGACAACTGCCCGATCCTCATTAGGGTTGATGTCGAAAACACTGACCTCGGCTTGGGCCTGGATAACAGCTTGAGGCCTCTTCAATGGAAGGTCCCCAAGAGACCTCGACACAGCTAAACCCCATTGCAGGACCTACAGCTAACATATCCCAACCCTAACGTTTTCCTAGTCCATGCCTATTACCTTATCTCCGACCTTCACTGCGGTAGGAGTAAAGACCCGCCATATACCATTGACCTCAGCTAGGTTCCCACCGTGCTCCGATATCCACTGAGCCTCATCCTCCCGATTAGGTTTATGATCCTCGGTCAGTCTCATCGACATAGAGCCATCCTGTTTACCCAAAACTCCACGAGAATCACCAACATGAGCTGTGAGCAATTTCACACGATGATAGCTGTCAGCCCAGAAGAGTCCAATGATAGCAGTAGTCCCTAAAACACTACTACCTACTGTTTCGAGAAGGCATTCTTACCATCAGGCATTTGATGATTGCTAGCTAGCTGTAGGAAGTCGTCATCTGTGAGTATGAATGCCTCCCTAACACTTTGCTTTAATCGTGCCACAAAGGCCTGCTCTGTCGGCTTAGCCCGCAAACACTGTGTAATAGTCTTGCCCAGATGTTCTACCTGCCCTCCAGTTGTTACTAGTCATCCCCACTCCCGCTACTAGTAGTAGTACTACCACATAGTCCGCACATGCACCTCCACTATGCCCATCATATACAGCTACTCCATGTACATAAGGATCCCCATCTGGTGTCTTAATTTTCATATCCAAAACGAACCTTACGTATGTTAGTTGGGCACATTGCCTCAGCATGACTCCTCACCTGTCCTCTTGAGTAGGTTTGTTGCCCTTCCACGTCTCAGCACCTATCCATAGGCTCACCCCGCCATCGCTGAGTGAAACCGGATCCATAGTCAGTGTCGGCCGAGTGTCTGCCTCCTTAGAGAGATTCTGCAACTGCTCAGCACGATTGTGAGAATCTCCTGACTGATCGATATGAGTCGTTGTTGGAGCTCTACGACGTTCTTCCCACTTCTCATGCAAAACCCCTATAAAAGGCAGCAGGATTAACATCACTCAATCAGCAAGCATCATCATCAGACCTAGTTCCATCTCAGCCTGCTTCATACTTAGCTGCAACTGTTGACGTTTATATTGCTTTTTCAAACCATTGTCCATGTCTTGAGTTGCCCCTTCATCCCAGCTTGGACTCTGATGTTCACTCAAAGCATCGAGGTCCCTACGTATAGCTTGCAGCTGTTGACGCAACTCAAGTCGTCGCGATAATGTACTCTGCTCCAGCTTCTAGAAGTACAGACGGCATGATAATGATAATGCCTCCAATGACCGTGATTATAGTAGAGACTATGATAGCGACCTTTACCTCGAGGTTGCTCCTATGGAGATCGGAGAGCCTTTCATGCTTATTCAGTTGTTCCAGGCCAGGGAATCTCCTACGACACAAGTAACAGATATACCGTACACGCTTCTTGTTATCTGAAGGAGCACATATATCTCTACCTATCAGAGACAGAATACCAATAGTATCAGAGTTAGCCACTGGCTGTTGTTGCTGCTGCTGACGGGATGAAGAAGCCTCCGAGGAAGCTGGGTGAGGAGAGGGAGACATGAAGCAAGTTGACGAGAGAAACTAACGGGAGAGAACAGCAACAATATCGGCCCGACACACCCGACGCAGACTCATTGCCTCGATAATAAAGAGCAGTTGATATAAGAAATAGCGGCCCAATGCAGGACTACAATACCCCTATCGTTGACATGAACACTAGCAACGCCACTTCTTTTATGTCACAATAAAACTACATTGAGAAGACAGGAGGTCATCATCAATTATGCTCCTGCAACCGCTCAAACTGAAACTAACATCTCGACGCTGACAGAACTAGGATAGCTCTACTCAGCAGACATAGAATCCTCCATAGCACTGGGACCAGTAGGAGTCTTGGAAACACGCTTCCTGAGATTATATCTACCCGATCCTCCACGAGGGGGTGTATCATTAGGCACTACACTAGGTGCCGACCTAGCGATACCCTCATAGCAGCTAGAAGAAGCCAATCTAAGGTAGGGTAGCCATCCACCACAGTACTCTAATTTAGCTCCTTTACGGGGCTCATTGATGGTATGCCGGATCGAGGCTACCATTACACCGTATAGGTAAATACCGATCTGCTCTAGTGTGTGGATTATTACGTGGAAAAGTGGGAAGTTACCAAAGTAATGATCCTGACAGTACTGGCCGTAGACGACCTCGATAACACTGACACCCATGGCCAGGATTAGGAGGGCTCCAGAGAAAAGGAGGGGACCATAAATGGCCTTCTCCCTCTCCTCACAGTTATGCCGCATCCATGCTGCTCCCGAAGCTGCGGCAACAACAGCCGGGACTTGGATGACCAAGAGAGCAGGAACACCCCCTCTATGGCCGAACATAGCAGGCAGAGTCCTGACACACTGCACGATAAAAAGCCAGATAGTAACAGTAAGGATAGCACGTATGGGAGTAGACTTCAACGGCCCACCAGCCATCCACGAATACATGAAGAAGGTATATAGAGAGTTAGTGAGGACCGAGGTTAGTGTGATAGCATTAAGAGGTGGATACAATGTCATATGTGAGAAGAATGCGCAGGTATACATCCATACATCCATAAGACATAATACCAATACTACCCTATCATATCTATACCGTATAGCTTGATAAAGTAAGGTTATACCAGCAAGAGGTATAGCACTAACAACAGCATAGAACTCCGCTACCCAGGGTAGGACCTTATAGTTAGGCTCTGGATGATCCCATAACCCATCCTCATATCCCCAAAACACCTCCTCACCATCTCTCGGCCAAGCACGTGTAAAATATCCTACCCCGCCTATAAGGACCACATTATAGAAGCCAATGATAAAGATGAGGACACCTAGGAACTCCATACCTGTCATCTTACTGCTGCTGTGAAGACGATTGAGAATGCCAACCATCATTGCAACAACAACAGCTACTGAAAGCAACTGATGGATGATGTAGAGGGATGTTCTAACTCAAGAAGTCTACCAACTCATACCATCATTCATAACGTTAACACAAACCTCTTCGCGGGACGATGGTCCTCAGCACCAACGACAACGACGACAATGCAATTATACCATCAAATTCTTTCTCATTCGAAAAACTGCGAGCTGAGCCTGGAGCGAAGATAATGTAAATGATAATATCTTTTCCTTTACCCCGATGTCGATTGCTTGAATGTTACTGTAAAATGCCATCGTTAAACCATTAGCAAACCATCAATAAAAGTCCACCAAGATGGACCAGCGTTATGACCAAGCTGTAAGGCCTACTTAACTCCTGACATATGCTAATCTACCTTAATTCTCGAATAGATGTACCAGACGAAGTAGTAGGTAGCCAGGAAACTGGCGGTACCCAGCATAAGGAAGATTGCATATGCTATAATGAGGGAATAGAGGAAATAGAATGATACCTGTAGAAGACCTGTCATGCTCGTTTGGATATAGTAGTAGCAACAATAGACATAAAAAAAGGCACTCACTGAACCACCAGATATGAAGGATCTCCACCACCATCTATGGTCCTCTACATTCAAATGCAAATACGTGAAGAGGACAGTAACAGCAGCAGCCACGAGGAATACTAATAATGAGGCTAACAGGAGTATACCATAAAAGGTATACAGCTTAGGACCCCATACCGAGTTGAAGACATAGTGAAGCTCAATATAGATAGCAGAGAAGGGTAGGAAGCCAGCAGCTAACATCTGGCAAGTAGAGCTCTGATACCAGTGGCAAGATGGTATCTCTCTAGCAAGCTTATTGGTCTTGCAAGGGAATAGGTTGCCTCCAGCTTCAGTCTTCTTTTTCATTGACTTATGCCTTCCAACGATTCCCCCAATCACAGTCAGAGGGAAAGTCACGCATGCCCAAATAGTAATAATGAAGAGTATGGTAGCCAAGGGCCATGCTGCAGTAGAATTATACCTATATCGAGCAGCAATGATGACCCTCCAGCATGCACACCCATGCCCTCACGCTATAGCAACGGTATTAAGGAACGTCCATATAGCGAAAGTAGGGCCCATAAATGCAATGGCTGTTACGAAGATGTTCCATGCCCACTTCTCCCCTCCTAGAGAGTTATATAGTCTTGCGGATACATATCCACCTGAGATGTGAAAAGGAATAAAGGAGGAGGAAGGTTAAACTATGCGGGCTCGAGGTTATGACCTGATGCCGCGGTGATGAGGTATGAGATGATCCCTGCCGTCATCACAGCTCCTCTCCTATAATACAAACCAATACACCCAACCATTACGACTAGGACAACGGCTAGCAATAGCTGTGTCTGAGAAAGGAAGAGATATCATCAATAGATAGATGAATGCAACGAGACTACCCCAGCACCAACCGCTGCCGATAGTAATAGCCTATGGGCCGGCGGTCGGAATACATCGGCATAGAGTAGTTTCCAACCAGTTTCCTCCTCAATAGCTGCCAGCTCATCATCGGGTATAGCCAGATAACGTGAGAGATCCGATCGAACAACCTAGGCAAGAGGCATAGAGAAATACGTATATATACGATGAGGAAAGTCGTACTACCCTTATGATAACGAGTAGTAGCAATGATAGTATGAGCATAACGAGGACGAAGGAGTTAATGATGGCCAATATATGAATCTCGATGGGTTGGTCAGAACCCGACATCAATGCAGCCTTCAATTGCATCTCTAATGCCTCGGATTTGGTAATAGGAGATTCGACCTGAGCCGGAGCATAATATAACAGAGAGATACTGTTACAGTATTATCACTGACCCATTTGACTGAATAATAGAATGGTACGTCCAGCTTCCTAGTAGCAGCATCAACATCGGTGATCTCTATCAGATGTTGCAGGTCTAAGTCTGCTGTTATATTCACCGATACCACTGCATCGTTATTATAGCCCATAATAAATTCGAAATAGTTCAATAAGAAATACCTAAGAGAGAACTAGGACAGAGTGACAGAGCTAAATAGGAAGATTATATGGCAAATCACTGGAGCGCTGAATACACAAAGAGACCTGTATAACCTGTCTTTTGTGTCGGTGTCACGAGAGCCAGAATCCTCAATAGACATAGCACCTATGGGATTCACGACTGGTAGCCCTTCTACCTGAATGTGAGATGAGGCGTCACTCTAACTCACAAGAGATGTATAGCTTAGACTTACGAACATCTCGAACATGTAGCTATCCTTCACAGCCGCCTTGAGAACCTCAAGCTCTTCCTTCGTGAAAGTCTTCTGACATACTTGAGTCTTTGGCAAATCTATCCCGAATTGAAACTTGTATATTGAATTCACTAGTCTGTCCCCTCTGAGGATCTGAGCATGAAACAGAGAGATGAAAGGGAGATTTCGTTATTGAGTGGTTCAGCATGTGAGTGAATTTCACCTGCCCGAAACTCATCCAATGTGTCCCAATAACCTCTGGCTGGCAGAAGGGAAGATCATAATAACGGTAGGTCTCTGTAGGATTCGAGAAGGGCCATACCTTATTCATACCTGGTCATGACACCAATTTAGTATGCCTCCAATAACGAAACCGGACTCACTGATTGTCACCATGCTCCGCTTCATAGTTAGCATCTCATAACCACTCGTGATGAATTGACAGAGAAGAGCCAATCCCAACACCAGTGTTGCAACCGTTGGGGACCTCATCGTGATGGGTACTATGGAAAAGGATCTTTTTCCCCTGAATGTGTGGATAAACGCAACACCAGTATGAGTAGAGCTGTACATATGAGCTATGATTGCCCAGACGAAACAGAAGGTACAAAGATAGTCATAACAACCCTCATAGTGTTGCTATCATCATATATACCCATCTATTGGAATATGTACTTGATAGTCGGTAGGGTTGTATCCACTTGGTCATCCATATCACTGGCAGATACTTCAAGCACCAAGTAGTTCCTATGAGAGAGGATAATCTCCAGAAACCCCAGTAGTCTTACCTAGTAGGAGGGATCTTTTGTTTAGTGATCTCCTCATAGAGCTCAGGCATCTTCTGATCCAAACGCTTCTTATGTGCGGGAAGGAATGCATTATAGAGGCATGCATTCCCGGATGAGAGGATCATAACCTGATATGATCAACACTAGCCACCGAAGGGCATAAGCATCGAGAGTGATACCACTACAGTGGAACGTGGGGGTTTCAATCGATACATGCATATCAAGTATGAATCGTTCTGAGGATATGCTACGCACGGGAATGCCCACAACCAATTACATGGATGCACTTTGCAGTCCCACCACGCGAGAGATGAGAATCGGAATAGGAGCATCACATGCTCATTTAAATGATGGATGTATGACAAATACATTGATAGTTTTACCTCGGCATTCTGCTCCTTAGCAAGCCAATCGATCAACTCCCTCAGAGTGCCTTCAGGGCCATGATTTATGACCAACTTCATCCATGGAGTAAAACCCTCAGGCTTGGCTCTCACTGGCCCCATAGCGATGGGGTCATACTCCTTTGATACTGTCTTCATCTGAATGATCCACAACTCGTTGCAATTATCATCATATGCAGCCGACTCACAGGTGGAAGAGGCTCGCTAAGGATCCATGTAGGCAAGGCGAGATTGACAAAAGAATTCTTATACCTTTCAATGTCGTATCTGAACAACAACAAGATGAGGATCCCATTAACGATAATGCCACCTGATGATATCACTACTCATTCCCTTCATCCATAAGGACCTTCAAGAGCTCACAAGATACCATACCAGTAACCATGGCGGTGGTAGTAGCTATAGCTGGGATAATTTTACCCGCTATCATTTTAACCTGATTCACAGTGCTCAAGGTCCTCGTGATTTATCAGGCTACTACCTTATTCCTATCAGCCTCGTTGATCTTATAGTTTCTAGCACGCAAGTTGGCCGAGGCTGCAATGAAGTCGATATGGAAGTTGGTATCATCATCCTTTTCGAACTCAGCTGGGCTGATACGCTTCTGTAGGTTACTTCTGAGCTCCGGATCGATGCTGCGCATTTGCTCCGCTAAGGTCTGGCAACAGCAATCATGATGATGGTTGTTAGATATCGTAACAAGAAAGAGTATTTTATTATTCACCTGGACTGCTTCCTCATCATCCATACATGCTCCCTCCTCAGTACTGGTATCATCATCACTGACTTTGATCTTCATATTGCGTGGTGCAAACGGGATGATAGTGCACTTCATTGATAGCTCTCTAATCTCCTCCTTATCATGTGCCACTGGTATACCCAATACTGTAGCATAGAGATTGGCACAGGCGAACACAAAGGCTACATGCAGTTCATCATTAGGGTCATAATGAATAACCTATCATCGACAAGCGTAATGGTTTAATAATAGGAATAGTTTTACTACCTGTGGAGGCCTCTTGGGACCAGACCAAAACAGGTTTCCATCACTATTCTTATGATCCAGAGGGAAGTTGTATAACAACTGCGCAATAGCGTGGTCATACCTAAATATGGCCACTAGACCGACACCATGCATGGTTGTCCCTACTTATCAGTGAATTCATCAACAGCTAGGTTAACACAGTGTTGCATTGTGAGCTCTTTGCTGAGGAACTTCTTCACAGACTCCAACTTGTCCTTCTGTACCGAGCTGGCACCCTCCGCCAAGACCTTATCGATGTATTCGCTAGGGTTCTGAAGAGTGATAGCAGCAGATGAAACCCAAACAGACTGCAATCGTGAGGAACAAGACCTTCAAATAAGTGAGAACCTCCTGAGGTGTTTCAGTGAATAAACCTTGGAATTGGTCTCTAGCCCATTCAATTGTATGTTCAATGGCATATGGGAAATGCTTCAAGGTACCTTCAAGATTCGAAATAAGACTCCTACCACAGTAAGAACATGATCTTACACAGAGGTATACTGTCCTCTGGAGGGTCTTGACTATCCCCATAGCTCTGTGTCACATTAGGTAGCACTACTTGAACATTAGCTTTAGTCCCTAGAGTGCCCGACTCCATCAACGGCTTCTCATACCATACACATCTACTATCGACATACAACCTAACATGCCGAGATACAGCATCAGCAGTTATTATTCCCCTTTCTGGATCAGTCCAATCCAAAGCACTACATTACCTCGCAGCAATGTTGTCCAACGCATTAACCATGCACGATTGTGATTCCCAAAACTTGTCATCGAGGATGTCTTCAGTCTCCGGCCCAACACGGACCTCAATAGCTTCGACCTATTATAATGATCAACACTTATAATAATAGCTGCACATCCCCGCCTATCACATTAAGTGCAGGATTCATGTCTTTAGCAGCATTAGCGGCAGTAATCGACTTTTGCTTCCCTACATGCTGCTTCCTAAATGAGGATATATCGCATGGCCAAGAATGACTTACACTTGCTCACCTGAAGAGAAACTGTCGGTTGAGATTGGATACCTCGATCCTATCATTATCCGTAACAGTGACTTTGCCCTTTGGACCACAGCCGACTCCCATCGTGCTGAAAGCCTTGAGGAACTCGCAGCCGAGTGCTCCTGAAAATGCACCATCGTTATCCAGAATATGTGACAAGTAATTACCGGCACCAACTAGGAAGATCTTCGAGTTGATAATCTTATCGAAATTCTTCTTGCCCACAACGGTTACATAATCCTCATATCTGGTAGAGTCAGTAAAGTTGGCCATATCTAACATTATGGGTAACATGGACCAAGATATGTAACCTCATCACCTTTGGAATCCATTGTATCATCATCGGCTAGCTCAAACATATCCCAATACAATGACTGATGCAATGGTGTGAACTTGCCTGTGTACTTCACCACTTCCTGACCACTAGCAGTTAGACCATTACTATTAACACGTTCATACCTGGGCAACAACCCCACCAGCAAAGGCTGCCATAGGTGAGATGCAGCTCTGATAGAAGTATGCAACACGACGAACAACAGCTTCATCAACCTGAGAAATGTGTGATTGAGAACAGATCCTACCCGACCAAGCCTGACGATGATGACCTCGTCCACACTGAGCTCATCCTTATGAGCCTTCCTTTCCTCATTGATGGCCTTCGTAGCGGCAAGTACGGCCTCGTACACATCATCCGATCGAGCAGCAACAGCAGCAGCCCAGATACGGGCTTAGCATGCTCCAAGCCCATCAAAGCAAGATGGAGTTGCTCAGAGCGACCAAACTTACCCAGATCGGGCACTGGTAGCATACCCTCACTGAACAATAGTGAGAATGCGTAGTGAATAGTCACACTACTACCTTGGGGGGACCGGGTTCTTCTCACTCTCCTCGAGTGATATGAATTTCATGGTCTCAGGCATCTTCACTTGAGTAACAGTACCCTCCCTAAGACGGAGTACTATGAGCACTGACCATAACAACATACTCCTTTACCTTATGTATGCATGATAGTCACGAGTATCCTTGTCAATAGAGAAGGAGTAAGGCCCAGTGACCTGCATAAGGAATGTTGGGTACTCAGCAATCACCAGTACACTACCTTGATCTGTACAGGATCACAACCATTGAGCTCAGTCATGCCCTCTACTTCAGTGAATGTAACATAATCACCATTATGGAAGCCATGACGCCGCTCTCCATAAGTGATAACCTGAGTAATATTACACAACCTGTCGATTCACATATCCCTACTTCAGCATGCTCATCCTGAGTAATGCCAGACACAATAGCAGTGCGGCACTCCTCACCGTCCTTATCCCTCACAACAAAGTTATCGCCGTAGTCAACAAAAATACGACCAGCCAGACCATAGACATCGGTAGCAATGAAACCTGATTAGGATGTGTCCGAAAGGTAAGAGATAAGTCCTCACAGATACCCTACCGATATTATGTTGGCGGCAATAAGTGTTTATCCTCACACGTTCGTCGCGGTTATGTACGTCGCAGAGGACAATAACATCAAAATCGGAGAGCGCAGCATCCCCTAAAGGGCCAGCCATAGTCCTCACATTAACATACCTAGAATGACGACGACGACATCGTAGATTACAAGAGTATGATGCCTATTACGAATTGAGCTCCTGGAGCTTTCTATAGCTGGCCTCAGCTCTGGTCGTGACTCCCACATCCTTATCAGTAACATAGAAGTTTGATCCCATGTCTCTAGCCTCTACAATGGAGTCATCGTGGATAACAACAGTGTTAGGGCCAGCAAGGATAAGGTTCTTAGCAGTCTCGACACCTAACAGAGGACCTCTCCCACGCAGACCGTTTAATCGACATAAAACACCCATACATAGATCCATTACCGGTTGATTAAAATGTCTCCTACCTTCCCCTATATCCTACAACTATTACCAGTTCCTCGCATGCCTGATACGAGTATGCGCAACTTCACGAGCTTGCCCATGGTTTCCAACCCATAGGCACCGATCTGCCTCGAGTAGAGATCCTCATCGATCTTTGCTTCCTTAGATGCCATGGTAATTCAGATGTAAAACTATCAGTATCGGGCATGAGTGTGTATCTGTTGGCATACATTACCGGTCTATCGTCCTTAAACATACAATAGCCAACCCCTGTGATTGCGAGGAGACTCAATAGCTCCCCCACACAAAGACAGCAGAATGAACGTAACATCGGTTTCACGAGCGGCAGAATACAAGAACGAATTGAGTATATGGTATCGTGGGGTAACACACTGTGGAAGCTCATCCGTGGAGGGCTTGTTAAATAGACCTTTTCTGAGCTTCATGAGTACCACAAGCATCGGACTTCACATGTTGAACTCGATCCTGAGAGCGTTCTGCTGACTCGGGATGAACACTAGCCCCACAGCATTAATTGCGCGAAAATTGCACGAAATACGCAGGTTTTCTTGTCGGACATGCTTGCTGGTTGGCAAGGTTCTTCTTCTATGGCTTTGACTGAGGTAGTATCGATGGCCGCAGCCTTAGAGCAGAAGAATGTGATTGTTGTATGATGTACTGCTCGTAATTAAGGACCGTTCCAATGACTGTAGCCTCTCTTGCGTGTATAATACATTACTACAGCTTCAATGTGGTTCTGAAGGCAACTAACCGAATACATCTTCTGCCAGGGTTGTGATAGAAGGAGCTCCACTACTACTCTTGACTGCCATTGATTGACAATCACTATCAATGTTGCAAGAATATCCCCTATATCGTTGATGCAATATCCCCGAGGCCATAGTGTAGGTTATAACCTCTTGAGACTTGTGCGGTATCCTAGCTGTAATCGGCTTAAGAGAGTGTGCCCAGGCCAAAGCTGGCTACGTAGGCTTGACGAGTATCGTGCTTGCTGCTGCTGCTATTACATATCTCACAGGCCTAATCGGAATATCCTATTCCACGTCCAGGAGAATCAATTGCATCGGGTGGGGCACCTATGCCATTCCAAGATATGCCTCACCACAATCAATTATATTGGGCGGGGCACCTATGCCACTCCAAGATATGTCTTACTACAATCAATCATATTGGGCGGGGCACCTATGCCATTCTAAGATATGCCTTACTATAATCAATCATATTGGGCGGGGCACCTATGCCACTCTTAGATATGCCTTACTATAATCAATCTTATTGGGTGGGGCACCTATGCCACTCTTAGATATGCCTTACTATAATCAATCTTATTGGGTCGGGCACCTATGCCACTCTTAGATATGCCTTACTATAATCAATCTTATTGGGTGGGGCACCTATGCCACTCTTAGATATGCCTTACTATAATCAATCTTATTGGGTGGGGCACCTATGCCACTCTTAGATATGCCTTACTATAATCAATCTTATTGGGTGGGTCACCTATGCCACTCTTAGATATGCCTTACTATAATCAATCTTATTGGGTGGGGCACCTATGCCACTCTTAGATATGCCTTACTATAATCAATCTTATTGGGTGGGGCACCTATGCCACTCTTAGATATGCCTTACTATAATCAATCTTATTGGGTGGGTCACCTATGCCACTCTTAGATATGCCTTACTATAATCAATCTTATTGGGTGGGTCACCTATGCCACTCTTAGATATGCCTTACTATAATCAATTTCGCGGGTGGACATGATAAGAAGAATAATCCCATCTGCACCACTAAAATAACTTCCATCCTGAAGAAGCGTGGTAATCAATTCCGCTGTTAGCGAGGCTGACCCCGCCTGGAGAAGATACGTGTACCTAATTTACCTACGACATATAATACATGATATGGAGACATCCGATCATCGGAGGTCTCCATCTCATGTATTCCGTCGGCGGAGCGCTGATGGTACTGACATCGAAGTCCGATGTCAATTCTATCAGAAGTATCAGCCCCTGTGAATCTCACAACCGGTCTCATCAAAGGTCACTGATAAACATTGCTATGGACCGGTTTTGCATTACTGGAGTCAGACGTAAAAATCGTCTCATTAAGAGCTGATGTGCGCTTTTGTAGATACCTATACTTCCATAAATCATATAATTCCCAATGATTCAACGAACAATTCTTTGGGAAAATAAGCTATCTGAAACTCAGATTGTGAATGCGTGACGTCTTATACTGACCATGGCATGTCGTCAGAATACTCATCGGGCGCACGAAGCAATGACTGCTTTTGGAATGTAGCCTGTCCATCAACATCTATTCGCGGGTGTACTCGAAGCAGCCGAGATGTCCGCCTGAAAGTAAGAGCGCCGTGAGGAGTCTAACTTAGAACAGTGTCGTATGGAGCGTCTATTGCTTGCACTGTGCAGATTACTATCACATCGGATCCATCATTCATACAGCATGCTGTAACAGCATGATGATCTTAGTAGTCGAGCTATGATTAACGTCCGCGTTGATTGACCATCAATGATGTTTTAGGCAATTGAGCCATTGACGCCATCATTACAATCGACTACTGCGGTTACAATTTTCTAGCTAATAGGAAGCGTGCACGATGAACTTCAACACTTAATTCTCGTCTCCTGTGACCTATCAGTTGTACAGCTTTCATCGCTGTGTCTCAGATGTTCTCATCTATCCTACTTTATTATGTAGGTGTACGTGTCTGAGCTGAATACCATACTGGCGCGTTGTGGCGTAGTGAATTAATAATGTCACTTCCTTCAATCACTCAACTCCATAATATGGATAACATGAGTACTACTGAACATGAGGGAGCATGTGCTATTCACTGGTCGTGGGAGGAAGTCTATGAAAGAGTTGGGCTTCAGGATTCACTTTAGGTGTGCTGATGTAGTCGAAGAAGAGATTGGATATCCCTGATCACGAGGCATTCATTATATCGTACTAATACAACTATTACTCTCTCGCAAACCCTTCAAGCTACGACTGCCTCTACCACGATTCAGTAGATCTGCTTCACGGTCGAGGAGCTCAGCCAAGACAGCAGTCACTTCACAAGGGTAGGTCTTCACAGCCCTGAAAAACTGCCAGTCAAACTAATGTCAGACTCCCACACTGTTGCTACTACCATTTAATGTGTAGTAGTAGATCCAATCGCTCATTGGTAGTAAGTGTGGTGAGCCGTAGAGCCTTATACCTATCCCCAGGCAGATGCTGCTCATCCTCCTACCCCCACATATAACTTACAGATCCATGTACTCCTTGGCCCGCGTAGTAGAGGGTGTGTACACGAGAGTGCTATCACCATCACTCTGTGTCCATACCTTGGGTCTAGCCATAGCCTCTAGTTTCCCTACAAGTCATACAGCTGTCTTCCTCATCACAATTATTACTACAGGTACCTACTGTCGATCTTAGTGCTCCTATTGTGTTTATGAGCATGTAACTTCAATCGATCTATTGTCTGTAATAGTTTGACCTCCTTGTCAAGTAACTGATACCACACCATCCATTCTCCCATACATGGATAGTAGGTACCTCTTTCAACGCCACCTGCTGCTCCTCCTTTGACAGAGCACACTCTTTTATACGTCTTGTCTCGTTCCGTCTCCATGCCTCCACCTCATTGTACAAAGTGATGAAGTCATCATATGTCCTGCAAAGGCGATAGAGCCTCCCCAAGTAGAAGTCTTTGACCTTGGATGGAGTCTGCGTTCGACCTCCCGTCTACGTATAAGTTCATCCTCAATGATGGCTTCTTCCTCCTCACGCTGTCGTTGTCTCTCAAACTTTTCCCTCTCAATTCGGAGATGCCGGCAGCGTATCTGATACCACTCCTTCCCCTCCTCAATAGTATCCACACCGTGCTTACTCTAGCCATCATACCACGGGTATGGGACTGTATAATGATAACCTTCTCTGCTAGTAGAGCGTCTCTGTCGGCACTACTGAAGTAAGGCCTAGGGATCATTATCCTATCCCCATCTTGAGTAAGATCAGGTAAATTGAGCCGTCGAGGCTGAGTGAAAGGGTATCCTGTCCACTCCATATAATACTATTACCATGCTAGTACCCTGTTCCCGCCTCGTCTGTATATGCCTCGTCCTAGTGGTACATGTTTGAGCTTCCCGATGGTATCTACATCCACTACCACAATCGGTCCCCCCCTCACCCCCCACGGTGATAGTACTTAGTTATGAGCTCTGACTGTTGTGTTCGATCATTAGTCTGTGAGATAACATGGTGATACTCTAGACCTACGTCGTCCAACAGTGGTGACCATCCTATTGTAGTTTGCCACCTACCGTTGGCCTCATTAACGTACCCACAGAGGAAGGGCTTGTCATTCACTTCCACCATACGGGTAACAGCAGTCCGGTCTCTTTCATCTCCGGTGGATTCTACCTTCGCTTCCATTCTCTCCATACGAGAGCCGTGCCCTTCTAACTCTCCGTGCTCTGATGACATATTCGAGAATAGACTAGGGAGTTCGGGGCATGTATTTAGCCGTCACACTTACATCCATTCTGAGCAGTAAGGGTAGCGCGCGCCACTATAATCGATAATCACTGACTAGATGCTCCCCACCAAGTCTACTTGGTAATGAGATCTCAGCCTAAGAGCCCTCGTTTTGGGCAGCTGATTATAGGGCCACCCGGGTCAGGGAAGAGTACATATTGCAGAGGTACAGTATATAGGGTTGCGGGAGGCGGCGAAAGATTCTGGTATTCAGCACTACGAGCATATCTGAGAGCAGCTGGTCGACAATGCAGTATAGTGAATCTGGACCCGGCAAGTGAGGAGCCTATAAATCCCAGTATACTACAGGAGGAGAATGGTGATGATAGTGAGGACTTGGAAACAACCTATTTCGATGTTGATGTAAGACCTGTAGATGGTTTCCTGGAGTGACACTTCGCTCTGCCTCGTGATGATGACTGCATTCATTATTGGATAGGTACGGGAGTTAGTTAGAGTAGATGATGTAGCTGAGGAGCATGGGCTGGGTCCTAATGGAGCTATGGTACAATGCTTCCAACTACCATCGTATATCACTCTGATAAAGAGCCGTATTACTAGATATTCGCTATGCAAGAGCTCGAGCTCAACTCAGCATGGTTGAAGGATCGTATCGAGGCATTACCTATAGACGACTACGTACTATTTGATTGCCCAGGACAGATTGAGCTGTAAGTCTCGGCCGTGCTCATCATCTCACATGTAGAAGTTATCAACAGGTATACTCATCTTACTGTAATGCCTCATTTAGTGCAGCTACTGACCAACAGGAGAGGGCTCGATATAAGGCTTACCGCTCTTAACCTCACTGACTGTTCAGTCTTGGCGTCAGAAGGAGGTGATGCTGGGATATAGTCAACATTTTCTGTCTCATCCTTGAGGGCGGGCAGGACAGGGATTGTCATCAGACTGTCGTAGGAATGTTGTGGGGACTATAGCTGCCAACTATAGAGTGTGATGAGAATGACCACCTCCAGTGATGTACATATATCTTCTCAGGCAACAACTTTATATCTGCTGCCCTCTCATCCCTCGCAGTAATGCTGCACGTGGAGCTTCCACACTTGAATGTAGGAGATTAGTATACCGGGGCCTTGGTGGTATATGAGCTATACAGGTTCTCACTAAATGTGATACACTATCTCAATTCGGCAATCAGTTAAAGTAATGATGAGCTTGGTCATAATAGTGCTATCATTGGCTACAATCATTGTCAGCCGTACATTAGACCAATACCTATGCTGTGGCGGGTATAGTGGTATATCATCATTACTACCAACCTATCTGGAGGATGAGGCGAGAGGCCTTAGTAGGCCTAAGAGTGCACTAGTAGAGCGTCAGGACAAACTCGTTCGTACTGATACTGCTGCCTTTATCATGTTCGATGGATATGCCTCCTCTTCAGGGTCCCTATGTGAGCTGATTGATGACTACGGCGAGGTGAAGTTCATACCTCTTAGTGTAGATGATAAGGAGTCAATCAGCAATCTATTGGCTCATGCTGATAAAGCCAACGGGTAGGGATAGGGATCTTGGTAATAGAGCTTACACTGATGGATTCCTAATCATTGGCATGGGAATTTACATGACGATACAGTGCACAGCCTACTACTGATCAATATGAAACATGGGATGAACAACAGGGGTCGATCCCATCTAAAGAAGGTTCCAGAAGGAGTGGTATGATTGGTTATTGTCAGGTATGCTTTCTCACGTACAGACCCCCAGCTATGTGCAGTAGAGGTGGATGAAGGCCATGATGAATACAGTGATTATTATCAGCAACGATACGTAAATACTGCTGCCTACAAGGATAATGAAGAAGGTGTTGATGTTACCGCTCCAATGGAAGATTCCATCCCGCATTGTGGATATTGTGGTAGCAGTGGAGCTAATATGAGGTGTACTAGATGCCAGAGGATAGTGTAATGGGTCGTCATAGTCATATGTGCTAGGGTTGCCTCATCATTCACTCATTAGGTATTGCGATCATAGGTGTCAACGTCTTGATTGGAAGAGGCATAAGGCAGAGGACTGTATCAAAGATTAATACATACTATCAGAAACACTATGCAAGCAGCATTATCGATATACGATGGCTTCCTCCTATACGTCTAGTTTCTCTGAGATGACATGCGGCTGTGTTTGGAGTGGTATTGAGGAGATTGTCATTGGGTGATAGTAATAATAATGACCGGGGTGAGGAAGGAATCACTGAGTGATACCCTGGAAGGTATATTAGCAGCTGGTGTTAATCCTGATGCATGGTCCGAGGAACCAATAGGGAAGCGATGTAGTATTGTGGGAGGAGGTCATCGATTACGAATTGCAGGGATAGCTGATGAGTATACCTACGCCGCATCATCAGCTTAACTCCTACACGCTGAAATGCTGATGTTGTATTATTAACGATAGAAACCCGTAGGTAATTTATTGCAGTTGGCTATAGACGGGGGTGATGGTTGTAATGGGAGTAGCCGTGGCGTAACGGACTTACATCCAGATGGAAAGCTGTATAGCGTACAACTCCTACTAGATGCCAAAGTTGATGATCTTAAATAGGGTCTTAGGAAGGAGTATGCTGTACTCGGTAACATGCTCAGATCAGGCATTAGAATCATCACATGACCATCTCCCCCTCTTCTCTCCCTCGCACAAAGGGGTCGAAGGGGCTACACCACTACAGAAGCGCCTGTAGAGGTCATATAAGATGCTACTCTGGGCCCAAGCTGATGTTGATGCTGAGGATGCTATGGGTCGGTCCCCTCTCCATTATGCGGGGTCTGGGCCGATGACGGCCGTACTACGGTACTATTTGATATGCTCAGGTTATGCACTCTCTCACTCCTTATGGCACTGATCCTCTGCATATAGCACCACCTACATGTGGAACTGTATGGTTTCGCGAACTGTGAGGATACACTGGTCGGTACGCATTCTATAGTAAAGGCAGCGGTCATAGTCGGCAACCTCAGATGCGATGGACTGGATGAGTGCAAAGGCTCCTCAACTTGTCACCAACTCACAACGAATTTTCCCATCGTAATTCTGCTGCCTATGAGCCAATGTAACACTACTGCTCTAGTTATTCCATCGCATATAGCTGCTAGACGAGGCAACGTATCGACATGTCTACTTCTATTAGACAAGGGAGCTGACATTAACCAACATAAGGGAGGAGGAGGAAGACGAGTAAGGATAGAGTCGTATGATGGTGTAAACTCCCAGGAGGCGGGAGGGATCTACGCCATTACCATGACTGATAAGCATGGGCACGTGGAGCTAGCCAAAATCCTCCATCATCAGAGCACACCTAGAATGATGGGCATATTAATGATGATGATGATGATGGATACCACTGACTATGCATAGGCACAGCTACGTGGTCCCAATAGTCGCATAACTACACCTTGATGAATAGCTTAGTGACGTCATGCATTAGGTGAAGGGATAGACCGCCATTACCCCCTGAACAATAGCATACAATCAATAGAGAGCTCCTAGCGGACTAGTTTACGTCTACTTCATCAAAGGGAGGCATACGCTGCTGCCCGATAGTGGCATGGTCACGATAGTCCAGAATTGGAGTCACTAGAGATTCACACACCCTGCCTTGTGTAACCTCTATCACCCACTGTGACCACCTTGTCGACCCTCTTCTCTGATCTCCTCCGTTTAGGGGACCGCGGCTGTCCCTCCTCCCTCCCCTGTAATCCCCTCCCTATGCTGCTATCTACCATATTTTTTGACAATAAGGGCTATCCATCCCTTTCCTCTGAGATGGTGTGCCTCTATGTGGGGTAGTGCACGGCGAAGATCTACTAAATGACGGACTTTACTGCCGTGAGCTGTCCCTTGGCAGTGGTGGCTACCTTGAAGAGCACAGAGGAGGTATTCGGAACTAGATGAACCCGACAGTAGAATTGATAAGGTAGGAGGGATACTGAGACCACATCTCTCTCCCATTAGTAGTGGGCCATTACTACCGTCCTCCCATTATGGTCCCCAGCAGTAGGCTTTTTGGTCTCACTACTAGAGGACGATGATGATACAGTCTGTTCCGATAACACCACCGGTGAAGGGTTCCGTATACCTTCTATGAACATGGATAGCATACCCTCCAATCGGCTCATTGAAGACTCTAACTAGTTAGCTATCCTGTTGTTAACATCATCAATAGAGGACGAGGACATTATCGGAATATGATAATGAGGAGCTGCCATTCTCCTATCAACTCAGAGGCTACATCTATATCACCATAGCAGTGCGAGGGACGACAAACACTTACTCTGTAGAAGTCTAAGGTAAGGAGCACTACTAAGAATTCGGGGGCGCAGTGAAAAGGCACATCTTGCGGCGGCGGGGGCGCAGCATGAATCGTATCGCGTCGGCGGTACTATTTGAGTTCAACAAGTTAAATAATTAAACCTTATTCTTCTCCTTCTCTGGTGTACCGTAATCTGCCGCGTTTATCGGCTCTTACGGATCTACATATAGTACGGGTTATAGAGGCATGAATTAGGACTAGACTGAACGGTATTTGTAGCCGTTGTTTTTTTCCTCCACCCAACAATGGCTGCCATGGTTGCTACTACTACTAGTGGAGGCTTCAGAGAGGCTTTGTTGTATGGGTGGAAGTGGATACAATTTGCTGGTCTATTACACTGTACACAAGAATATGTATTCGACTTTTCAACAACACAAGGGGGTAGTATGGAACCCAGCATACGATCGCAGGGGTGTGTCCTATTTTATGATAAGGTAGGCAGCATCATGTTCCACTTACTACTACTTGTTGCACATCATCATCATGCATTAGGTTTCTCCTAGGGTCAATGGGTATAATAAAGGAGATGTAGTGATAGCTACCGCACCCCATGGAGGGCATCAGATATGTAAACGGATAGCAGGAGTGCCTGGTAGTAGTAGTAATGCTGAGGAATGCTCTTGATCGTATACTGGAGTAATGGTAGACTGTTATCCCATCCTCGTTGAACGGTTATGGAGCCACGAATAGTAGCTCGTTGTATTATCAGGCATAGTAGCGTCCATCATGTTATAGTGTCATAAAGAGGTGCTCATAGGGGACTCATATCATTGGCTTATAGGTGATAGAGTAGCAGTCCATAGAGCAGGGAGAGAGGTATACTTCCGGATACCACCAGGACATGTATGGCTGCTGGGGGATAATCCGGTACTAACTAGGCATATCTTTCATGCCTTCATGACATATTATCCAACACCTCTCAATGCTACACGTTCCTTAGGAGAAGTCGTTAGACTCTAGAGCCTATGGACCAGTACCACAAGCTTTACTGAAGGGTAGAGTACGTGCCAAGGTATGGCCTCCCAGTCAATGGGCTAGGTTCGGCAGGAGTTGATGCATCGTTTCACTGTTCTTGTGCACAATTATCATAACACTGCTGTGTGGTGTTAAGTGTTGCATCAGAGGATGGATAGCCTGTCAGTGAGATCCACACGACTACCGCAAACCCGTTGTGGATAGTATCGAGGTTCATGCTACGGGTTCTCCTACGAAGGATTAACCGTTGTCCGGTGGGATTAGACAGCATATAGTGACTATGTAGTAGGCTGTGTACACCTCACACAGTGCTGTCTTACCTTTGTAGTAGTAGTCTAAATACTATGTCCCCGACTGGTCTATTCGATACCGATACCCTAGCCCTACTCCTCACAATATTCATCCTATATAGTAACACCATCAAACGTAGGAGATGGTGCATGAATATTAGCGTCAATCCGTAAGCTACCGTCCATAGGAGTTATATCAGCCTTTAGCTAATTCCAGGTCCTCCCTCCTTGTCGTACCTGTTAAGGAGAAGACCACCTCTACACGACTAGGTAGGCTAGGTGAGGTATGCGACATGACGACTAGAGCTACTCCTGGGAGGGGTATCGAGCAGTTACCCTACTTCCTTTCCTTCGAGGTGGGTAACCTCATAGTGTTCCCATTCTTCATATCACTCTTCAGATCATCGCCTTCATCCCTATGGCATTAGGGTTCTCCCTTGCTCTAGTGTTACTCACGAGGTATCTCATGGTGAGTACCCCCCCTCGCTACATCCGATACCTTCACATTCTGGTCCTTCGTTCTAGGCTCGAACAGATCCCTACTCCCCCTTCTTCTTGGGTTCCGCCATGTGCATGGCCTTCCCGGTAGGCTGCTCCTTTGTACCTTGTACACGAGGATTCACCTCCCTTCAGGTTATCCTATCAGCATGGCGTAATACAGCTAGATCCAGCAATAGCAATCAGGTCTTGTCCTTCTTACTTGCCCTAACTATCACCCCTATAGCGTCCTTCAATACGTAAGATGCCTTCTCCATCAGGGACTCCTCATCCTAGACTTAGGTCGCGTCTTTTCGGCGTGGACACTCCCCGCTCCAATATCCCCCTATCCTCCTTTCAACAAGCCCTCCTAGTTGACCTCGGACTACAGGATTACTTACCCATCCTTCGGGGCATCACGTAAGATCTCCCACTTGATCTCTGTACCCTCAAAGTTCCCTTCAAGGTATATGCTGCTATATATTGGCCTCTTGCTGGCTGTGTATACCATAGTAGAGCCATCTATCAGAAGTGAAACCCATAGTGCCTGGGGGATATCTCATCTACTATCATAGGTACGGATATTCTGAATGCATGGATAAGAGGGGGTCAGACAGCCCACATTCGAGAGGCAGCATGCAACTCGGTCTGTCGAGAAGTCCCTTCAGAGGATACATTGGACTCGATTAGAGGAGGAGCAGTAGCGATGACAAGGGATTGGATACTCCGCTATTTTGGGTTATTATCCCCAATGGTGTGAGAGAGCACAAGGGGGAGAGGATTGTATCCTACCCACATCAGGTTATACCCTTACTCTTCGCCCCTTCAACATCCCCTCTATCAGTAGCTCAGCATAGTGCTATCCCAACACTACCGGACTTTATCACTTGGGGTATTGCTATATCCATCATTGATATAACTACCTATGGCACGCTTCGTGGGGTGAGTTATAAAGAGTTGGTACCACTCCCCAGCCACTTTTATAGATGGTCCAATACTGGCTCCTGAATGGTGACCAAGAGACTTCTCCGGATCGACTAGAACGCGATACTCGCTATATGCGAACAATGTACACCGCATTCGAGTGTGCAATTGTACCCAGACTTATCACTATCTTCATGGACATTGATCTCATGCTACGGATGATTCCTGTGAGGCTACTCATTATTCTACTAATTATCTGCCTCTGTACATCTCCTACTTCAGACCATTCTTGGAATAAGGTTAGTGGATGATAGTATTGTGGATTTGAGGTACTAGACCATCCCGCATTAGCATCGTGATATGATCCTACCTTTCAGCTCTATCCTGCCTATTATACCCAGTAGAACTGATATCAATTACTCCCAGTAGGCCGTTCCAATCACTTCCCAGATGCAACTCTCTCATCAGACTCGTCCCACGATTACGCCGGGTGATCAGCGAGCTATGGTGTATATTATTGCCCCCTGTAGAGGTTATGAAATGGTCTAAAATATACATTGGAACGTTGATTCTAGCCTGGGCTATGTTACGATGTGGCACCCTGTTGTATAGATCGTTCAGTCCAATACAGACAGGAAGTAATCGGAAGATGAAATGGAAATAGTTATCAGGATATTTTAGACCCCTAATGATGGAAGATCTTGATTCTCAGCATATTATTATCCCGAGTTGCCTTAGTTATCATTTGATATGCACATTTGCATTGTCGGGGAGATTATCGGCTTGATTGTATTCAACATTCACCATTGAAACACTTCAACAATTCTTTGGGGATATGACTTCGAAACGAATGCTAAAAATATGTATGGCCACATTGTCAGTTGTAAACACCATGTAACGATTAATAATACGGACATTCAAATATCGAACTTAACATCGTGCGAATAGAATGAAAAGTCTTTGACCTTACTCAGGAACTCCAAGGTATATTCGGGGTGCTATTAACCAACGCAACCGATCAATATCGACTTACTGGATGTAAAACACTTCCGGAGCACTGGTTGTGGGATGATTCCATTTAAGTGATAACAAAATTGACAATTGGACAAGACTATTGGACCATCTTGAGTGTGAGATGCCGGTCTCCAAGGATATTGTTTACTCGTGCACAACTTGGCCAAAATTTACCACGACTTCGTACCCAGGGTAAAGGGAACCCTGCCACTTCACGAGAATAGCTACAGAGGATGATGATGACAGTATACAGACGGTAGAGGCATGTTGTTGGAACTCACCAATGATCCCATTCCTCCGATGTAACCATATCCTCAGTATGTGGGGCATTCTTCAAAGGATTATCTTTCAAATCGTAGACCCCTTCAGCAATCTGATCTATCTCCCGCCTTATTTGAATCAATGCATCACAAAACCTGAAGGATATGCTCAAGGAGATGATAGTCTTTAATGGTAGCACCTGTCCAACTCGTCCTTGCTCTCACTCTCAGTAGGTTCAATCATTAATGAGTGATGAACAGGCCAGCTCATAGTAGGGGCATGGAACCCGTAGTCCATCAGCCTCTTGGCGATATCCTCCTCTACAACCTGATGGGTATCCTGTAATACTACTACATTGGTTACTGGTGGTAATCACCCCAGTGTGCTTGCGTATATCCGATATATCGATGATGAATTCATGACTACATCTACCATTAGAGTTAACATGCATGAGAGGATAGTAGTCCTGAGATGAATAGCAAGCATCATCATCATCCTGGCGACAATCCCTGAGAGAAGGCGTACCTTGAGCCTAGCCGCCATATAGTTGGCATTAAGTATGGCCATCTCTGCACTAGCACGTAGACCCTCTTCTCCCAACATGTTGATAAACATCCAGGGGATGGATGCTATACCAGCCTGTCCGAATGGAGCAGCATTCACAGAGCCTGCTATAGCGATATCGGTGCCAGTAGAGATAACAGAGTGTGAAGGCATGAAGGGCCTAGATATAACATATCACAATAATGAGAGTAATAGTAGTATGAGTACTTGAGATGCTGAGCGGCACAGATAGGACCCATACCAGGACCTCCACCACCATGTGGTATTGAGAAGGTTTTGTGTAGATTGAGATGGCATACATCAGCACCTACACCAGAGAATGCGCTACACACATGAGCATTATACTATGGCATACCAATAGTCCCCGGTGATGTTAACCCTAGCTGAGCATTCATATTAGCACCATCCATATACACCTGGCCACCATATCGATGCACTGTATCACATATTGCTTTGATATGAGTCTCGAAGACCCCTCTAGTGCTGGGATATGTGATCATCAATGCCCCCAGTCTATCCCCAATCTCCGAGCATATCCTATCAAGTACATCGATATCCATACCATTGGGACCTGGAGGGAAGCTATCTACTCCCATATCGCACTGTCGATGATCATACTATTACCATCATCATCAAGCCATACTATCTCAAAGCCCATCATAGCAGCTGATGCTGGATTGGTACCATGAGCCGAGCGTGGTATTAGACATACACTGCGTTGAGTATCACCTGTTAAAGCGGCTAATACTGATACTGATGGAGTATCATGTATGACCTCGAGATGCATGATACTGCCTTATAGCTAACAGGCCAGCAAACTCTCCTTGAGCCCCACTGCATGGCTGTAGGGAACACACTGCGAAACCCGTGATCTGATATTAGATATATCGATAACAGCATCATATGCCTATTGATACCTCTTTGAGACTCCTCTCCAAAGACCTCAATAACTCAGTATATCCTTCCATCTGGTTAAGTGGTGTGAATGGGTGTGGAGTAGTGACCTCCTCTCTAAGATAATAGAGGTAGGGTTAACAACAAGTCTACCCGAATAGTCCCTACTGTACTATAGTATACATAGAGCTGGAAGAGTTCAACTTCATAGTGCATGAACCGAGCGTTATCATAGACTTAGTAAGGGAGATATCCTGACGGGGGAACCACTGATGGCAGGCATAACAAGCTTTGCAGGACACTACCTTGTTTTGTAGATAATAAAGATACCGCATGAGGTCAGTCTCAGTGACTACACTGTTGAATATCTACAACAACACAGTAGCTATGGCAGAGAGCCTATGATCGATATCCATACCTTCTGTGACATATACGGTGTAATACGCCGCAATGGTTTGGGTATAAGGCCTAGGTCAGCCTCTGTGGAATGCCTATCCCCCTCGGTGGACTCAGTGCCAATAGCGGTAGCAATGACCTAAGAATAGCACCCTACAGTTGAGGCTAGTATTGTATTCCCACCTGCAATAGAGCTTCTACGTCCTTTATAGTATGTGTCTCATCGAAGGTAGCCGACACTGTAGCTGGATCGACCAATCTTAGATTCATACCCGCTGCCACTGCTGCCTTCATAACTCTGGAAGCTGCCTCAGGCGATCCAGGCTTCATTGACACACAGTCAAAAAACATGTCGGAGGTGACGACCGGCACCTCCATACGTTGGAGTCCATCGACAAGCAGTTGACCAAGAGCATGCACTCTACTAGCAATACGAGTTAAGCCTGATGGTCCATGGTAAACAGCATACATTGCACTCATATTAGCCAGGAGTGCCTGGGCTGTACATACGTTGGAAGTCGCCTTATTAAGCCTAAGATCAAGGAGAAGATAGTGACTACTGAGGTAGAATGATCGATACCTGATATGCTGCTCCCTAGTCTGCAGTGTAAGCCTATATGCCGGGTTACCCTGGGCATCCTGTGATACCCCTACCAACCTTCCAGCCATACGACGGGTATTTGCTGAAGTAGTAGCTAGATATCCAGCAGCTGGTCCACCATACCACATAGGCACACCAAACCTTTGCATAGTACCCACTACTACTTGGGCACCCATATCACTTGGAGGCTTGCATACAGTAAGTGCTAGAGGATCGGCTGCTACAGCCAGAGTTCCTCCACTACCCTCCTTGAGGGCATCAGCAAGAAAGGTGAAATCACGAAGGACACCTTGGGTATCAGGGTATTGCACAAAGGCTCCGATGAGGTCCTTCCTTGTAAAATCGAAGGAATCAATATCGCCTATCTCCAAAGGTATCCCTGCCCATTGAGCCCGAGTCTTAACGACCTCGATAGTCTGTGGATGCATAGTATCCGATATGAACATGACCTTACGAGTACTATTACCAACACCTATACAAGATCAATATACAGAGGAACATACAACAACGACTACCTCGCTGGATCATAGTAACTGCCTCTGCAGCGGCGGTAGCCTCATCCAATAGGGAACAGTTGGCCACTGGTAGACCCGTCAGCTCCGATACAACTGTCTGGAATATCATCAAGCTCTCGAGGCGGCCTAATAAAGATGTCCATTTCATGTTCATCATCATCCTTCATCACCCCTACCTTGAGATATCTCTGCCTGATAGGGTGTATAGCTAGTATACCAGACAGGGTTCTCAGCTAGGTTACGAAGGATAGGCTTGGGTACGATTGTACCATGATATCTGCTTGTATATGTATCTATTCTTTAAACAGGAGTAAAGGATTATTCTCACCCTTGGCCTATGAAGTTCTTATAGAGTTTGTTCTTTCTCATCATCTTCTTAAAGATGCTCAAGGCCTCACTCTCTGACCTAGCCCCGGTGATACTGAGGAAGCCTTGGTCACGCATAATGTGATCTGAAGGACATTATGACGTTCAGAAGGAAGAATAGCTGCAGGGCAGGGCTATACGGGGTATGGTCTCCTGTATGAGCTCCTTCAGACTAGAGGCACCAACCACACGGCACATCTCCTCTATGTCACTCTGACCACTGCCTATATGGCGAGGTAGGAAAGTATCCGTCCTGAAGATAGACACGGTAAAGCATTCACTGTTAGAGAACAGCTGACTTATCGAAGAGGCCCATAGTATGCAGCCCTAAGTAGTGCTTATCCTTAGGGGAGAGGGACTTCACATACTCATCAACAGCGCTGTGTGAGGAGGAGGAGGAGGAGGAGCCCTAACACGCAGAATGATTCCACGCCATCACCACTAAGGTGTACATGATGTGACAACCCTCTAACGCCGAGGTACGCTTGGGGAGGGTAACCACCAGTGTGAGAGGAGACCCTGTAAGCCGCTGATGATGATGATGCTGCTGCCGTGATGCTCAGGATGACATGAGAGGCTCCCAGCCTCGGGATACTCACAGGCAACACTGTTGCCCGAGACAGCATGGGTGAAAAAATACTTTAGGAAGGGGATGGATGCGATCACCTAGTCATTGTAACAATACTACACTCAATACAGGAGGGTGATGATGATGATGATGATGAGAAGAGGATAAAAGCTCCCTCACGAAACACTCGATGCTACGACTGCTAGTATCATCACTGATCCTCGATAGCTCTGGCAACCAACTCAGTAACGGCCTGGCTCTTCGCACGTACACTCAACTTCAATAAGCATCCACGAGAGGGATCAATACCAAGGAGGCACTTCACCAATACAGTCATACCACCTGACAGGGTAGTATAGTGAAGAAAGTACTACTACTACTACTACTACTACTACTAATACTACCGGCAAAGGTCCCACAGAGGAGTAAGGTATGACCCCTAGCAGCCGTCTCATCACTTATCACACCTGCCAGAGGAATCTTATGTACTCATGTACCATGATGACATTAGTATTACCACTGCCATCACAAGGCTCACAATTAAGGGATGTTTGTATACCCTTAATAGCCTGCTCTAGAGTTTTATAGGCCAGGATATGCTTGGCTGTTGTCTCCCCACCACCTTGGGCATGCATAGCCTCCCAACCCTGACGGAACTGTCCAGAAGGTAGACCTCGTGGGGATATATGATCCCCAATAGTAAGGGTGATCTGATCGAGAGGCAACGAGTCTATGAAATGTTGTTATGATGTAGTAAGAGTACATCCTCAACAGGGTACTCATCCTTATACCCTATGTCGTCACCATCCTCCCTCACAGTAAACTCTAGGCATGCTCCAAACCTTGCACAGTGTATACCACCATCCACCTTCTGTAACACTACATAGGCTGATCCGCTCTAAGTAATAAAAGTAGAACAACAACAGCAACAGTAGTAGTGATAGGAGGTATTATTACATCACCATAGGCCAGTGTAGCAATACCAAGCTCGCCTATCTCCTGGAAGAGGCCTGTCTCCTCTACACCACTTAACTTAACGGTTATGTTATCCAATTGTACATCCTCCAGAGTATTGGTAACAACGAACTCGAGCACCTATACGATGATGATTCACATGGTCCACACTAATACCAGGACTACTACCAGATATGACTTAAAGATATGTTTCCTCCCTCTAACACGATATTCAGCTTCTTGCTCTGTCAACATCTGACCTCGACTCGAGTGTAGGAGAGGGCCAAGATCCGATGAAGATATCTAAACAAGGAGGATAACGGTGATATGCTTCTCTACACAGGCATACCAGAGGAGCTAGAGCCTGGTAGAACTCCTGTTGGGTATCACCATAGGATGGACCACCACCAGGAGCACCTGCAACACGAGAGAGACTTCCTAAGGATGACTTATACAGGGCATACTACCGTTGCCAGTCCCAGGAGGAGCACGACCTCCTCCCGAGCCCGTACTAGCCTCTGTCTCACTGGCACCCCCAGCAGCAGGTCTTGCACCACCCATCCTCGCTATAGCACTCTGAGACGCGACAGCAGCAGAGGCCTCCATGGCCTGTTGACGCTCGATCTCCATCTGAAGAGTGGTAGTACACTATCGCCATCCATGATGTACTACTACTACTACTACCTCTCTCATCTGAGCTCTATAAGCCTCGGGTGTTGGTAGGATACTAGTGTCAAGCTCCTTATCATGCATGGTAGGATCCGACATTTGGACTAGCATACTGTCATAGAGTGCATCTAGACGGTATCGAGTATAAGCATAATACAAGAGTAGATGTTGATGCTCACCGATAGAGAAGGGTAATTCCTTCTCAGTAAGTAGGACTTCTAGATCCTCTGTAGCCTCTGTAGAATCCGAACTCACTGGTGACATGGCATCCTTCATAGTAGCAGTATATAGACGAATACGATCTCGGACCTAGCAAATGATAATAATACGAGTATACCGGAGGATAGTACTGCCACCACTACCTCATCATCATTATCCTTATCGGCTGTCTCTAACAGAGTTACTATGTCTCCACGGAGTGTAGGCACTGCTAGGCCTATCTTGGTCAGGGCATCGACAGCAGCACCACGGACTACTGCATTCTCCAATATAAGACGATTATAGATGAACCTGTATAAGATCATATACAGATAGTAGAAGGGTGATAGTAGTAGTAGTAGTAGTAGTAGTAGTAGTAGTAGTAGTAGTAGCGCTACTAACCTGATATACTTCTCAGGATGCTCTGTCGATGGTACATGGCTGGCTAGAAAGGTGAGGACTCTACAGCATAGGGCTGGATACTCACAATCCTCAATGAACTCGCATAGATGTAGGAGGCCTAGATCAGTGGCCTCAGGTACCTAGACAGGTTACGTCGTCGTCGTAGTAGTGGAAGTAGCAGAGTGAGTGAGAAGGATGATGACTACTTGGCTGATGACGAGTATGATAGTATCGACAAGCTCCTTCTTGAACTCGTGTGAACCTTCCTCTCTTAAACTCGATGATAGGAATCCCATTAATACACGATGCTTGGAGGGATACCTACAGCAAGCCTATAGCCATCTATTACAATAGACCAATACTCATTATTATTACTGTATACACAGGCCTCTGATCGCACGTACAATATCCAACTTATAAACATCTGATATATCTGAAAGACAACAAGGCACAGGTCAACACAGGATCCACTACAGTAATGATTAGTACTACCGCTCATAAGGGTCTGTATCTGCTTCACGAGCTTGTCAATGTTAGCCTCCTGCCCAGTCTTAAGCAGTGTGGTCAAAGCCAAGGTGGCAATGTTACGATTAGTATCAGATAGTAGAGGCTCGATATCGCCATTGCATCTCGATACAACCCCTGGACGGGTCTTGGCTAGGTTGTTGAGACATCTTATGGCTGCAAACCTATAGCAGGATACCGTCAATACTGACTAAACCACGTGCCTAGTATTATTACCTAACCACAGGCTTAGGAGAATTCAATAAGACCTGCATCACAGCCATAGCCGATGACATATCGTATACTCTGATAAAGAGCAGCATCCACTAAAGTGAACTGTCATAGAGGTGTTACTACCCGTTGCATATGATGGTCTGGTTAGCCATAGATACTGCCTGACGCGGGTTCTTCTTGATCTCGACATCAGCCAAGTCGAAGAAGGCTCTAGCCGACTCGAATTGTACCTGGACAAGTATATAGGAAGGTTAAGGGTAAGTTAGGTATAGACACTACCATCTCGGATTTATGTCGCAGGCATGTGTTCAAAAAGTTGAGGAGTTGCCTTTCTACCACTATATCTTGATCATGGGCTATCAGGGCTGCACCTGAAGTACGGAGAGGTAAGGGATACTCTATGTAGTGGTTATACCAGTATAGCGGATGAGGGAGCAAACAGCCATAGGGCTCTTAGGAGGGGCCTGTCCATCGGCAGTAAACTGACCCAATACCTTCTGTAGGGCTAGACGATCGTTGCCTACAGAGGAGTTGTGAAAGCATTGACGACTATCCTTAGCTGCTCACGTTTGATGTCATAAAGGAGGGCCAGAGCATGATATTGCACCATAGGGGTACTGGTATTCTGAGCTGCGGATTGGACCTCGGATACCCATCTACAGGATCACCACCATCATTCCTCATACAATTGCCGTCGTCGTCATCATCATTACCTTCTCACGAGATCAGGCACTGTGCTCATGAGTTGCATACCGCATACAAGGGCAGCGCTTTGGACAAATGCACATTTATCCACAATAGCTGAGATCATGTTATAGTACTCTATAGACTACCTATCAATCATCCTACCTGACTTGAGGTATCTATCGACCTGAGCAGCCATGTTGGGGTCAAGTATACGGCTCAATACTCGTATAGCATTAGCTCGATATGAATCATTGGTTGACTGCATATCCTTTGTCAAACATGATGTGACGATAAAAACCTGATATGTGTTTACGCATCATTCCTTGTATCATCAACATGTGGACATCATTCCTACTTCCGTCTCACTAGGGTGAAGATTCTTCAAAACTAGATACACCATCCTCCGCAGTTTAACGTTATTGCTTTGGAAAAGCTTGGTGATTCCAAAGAACATGTCGGTTAGTTCAGAGCCCTTGAAGTCTTCACCTTGTGAGATCAGATAGAGGATCTAAAGTCGACTCATGACATGTCCCAAAAGCAGGGTGATATACCCTACCTTAGTGATAAGCTTGCAACACTTGACCGTATCAATAGGGGTGCTGTTGAAGATACGAGTCTCCTGTATAACCGCAGGCTTCTCACATTCCCATGGGTTGCCTGAATGTAGTATCATTATGTGCACTGTTGTATTAATGGGTAGTAGTAGTAGTAGTAGTAGTAGAAGAGTAATTACCACCATCATCCTTGCCATCAGTGTCCATCTTGAGGTTGTCTTTCAGAGCCTCCTTCACCTTCTCCTTGATAGCGTCAACATTCATTTTGATAACAACGAAAAAGCCAACAGATAGTACACAAGATGAACAATCTCAATACAAGCGATAACCACAATGGACATCATCAATTCTTGCGACAGTGATTTTGTAATGGTGAAAAATGCATCTCGTGGGGGTCGAACCTGCGTCCGCCAGTCTATATCCAACTGGGACAACAACATTCGACTTTGAAATTTAGCCACTGAACCCTAGCCTCAGAGGGCCTATCGAAGCAAATGAAACTTGTATATATTACATTGGATAGTGCAGGAAACATGTTACAAAAACGACAGGCCTAAATGAGTAGTCTAAATGGCTAGAGCCAGTCCTCATACAAAGTAACAACTACATCGAGAGGGGTAAAAAGGAACGGGCATGGCAGCAGCAACGGTTTAGTATCGTCGCCCTTATCAGAGCTACCGGAGACTGCTGGTGGTAGCCATTGGCATATGATAGGAGTAGCATAGGGAGGGGTACGTCTTCTAGACTGGTGTTCAGTAAGACTTGGAGTGGGGGTGAGGGTATTCACTTCTAACGTTGTCGGACTCATCTCCTGTTGATCTAACGATAATGCTTCATCGTTAGACTCTACCACACTGTTATCCCTCAAGCCAACATCCTTGTATTTCTCTAGCCTCTGTAGAGGATAGTTAGACACAGCGGTAACAATGTTGCTGACTAGCTTGGGAAGGGTAGATTCGGCAACATTACGTTCCAACCAAGCAGGCATCGATGCGCCAACCTTAGGATCATCATAATAATAAAGGCAGTATCGACTCTGGAGGGACGATTTCCCTTCTTGCCGTACATTAGGCTTTATACAAGATAGACTTATATAGTCAGTAACACGAACCAAGCTATCATCCTTCTCGCCCGGGCCTCCCTCTTGTTGTAAACCAAGTGAAAGCATAGCACGAGTATCATCATTAGGAAGTACAAGAGGAATCTGGCGATACCTATAGAGCCTAGAAGAGAAAGGCCATGGCCATTTAGCCTTCCATACCAACGTACTGCTACCATCATCTTCCTTCTCGTCCTCCTTTCTCGCCCCTTCGAACGTAGAATCCCATGATGCCCTATTGTCTATGTCAACATTAAGGGCATGGAACTGAGCGGGGGTAACTGCAATATCGCCAGTCATCATCCATTGTGCCGTCGGACTCTTCCCTCCTGTAGTCAGCAGCTCCTTACGCCATATCGTACAAGTGTATTGACCATCCTTCTCGAGATGTTTGAAACGTTGCCACCCATGCGAAGGGAGATAGACATCAGGGTCAGTAGCCATCTCATCAGACACTAGTGACAATACGCCATCGAGCAGGGAGTGGACTCGAGGGGGTAAGGCCATATCACTGGGTATATCAAACTCCTCCTTGAGCCCTCTATAGCTAGATGCTTCTACACTATCTACATGCCGAGAGGCTGCGTAGTCTTCCCCCATGTTGCTACTCTGTATAACCCCGGTACAATCAAGTTGGGTAAGAACCTCACGTGAGGCATGCAGCCCCCGCTCGAGGACATCCCCAGGTATGGAGACCTTATCGGGAGGTGTTGTAACAGGAGGGAGGTGTACTCCCTTAGATGGCCAAGGTATGACTTGCCACATAGGCAGGAATGACATGTGTACTGGTGCCTTGAACAGCGCTGGTGGAGCAGGCATGGCCTCTCCACCCCGTTGCATCCCCTCTAATGTTAGTGAATCGCGACTACCGCCGCCGTCCATGGCACTCCCTAAGCCACCCTCTACGGCGTTGTCCTTTTTCATATCCCTCCAGATCTCATGAGTAACCAACGCTGCCGCTACCACCCCTAATAGGAGTTTTTGCCGTGTAGATGGTTTACCCAAGCTGTAGATCAAATCCATATATGACTCATGACGTGACCACCAGTGAGGCCACCACCGATGTCCATAATGATGATGGCTACGGGCCAATGCATTACTCCGATAACTGTGGTAATAGCAGTACTGACGAGAACGCCATGATAGGAAAGCCATTACCAAAAAACTGAAACTTATGAACAACCTGGTGAAGGCTGCCACCACTTAGTAGTGACTACTACCACCAACACAACTCAGTCCCAATGCAGAAGGGATAATTGAATACGAGAAACTGAACCTTCCTATTGCATTCGGCGGATACTAATGATACTGCTGTAAATATAACATCAACATAACCAAATATAACAACATCAATACCGTCGAGGAGCCTCTTTAGGCAGCTCTAGAGAGAAGAGATTAGGAGCATACAAAACATCACCCGACTCCTATAAGTTACCTCTACAACAGAGCAAGGGAGTTTCACAACCCGAAAGCATCGTAAAGCAATGCAGCTTCGCTACTGTGTACTCCAATTGTGGACAACAGAAACATGAATCGACATTGAAGTTCGAATCGTCCACATCATACATCAAGGTAAAGTGAAGCAGCAGCTGCAGATATAGGGATAGCGCTCCCGGTGGTAGTGTAAGACTGTTGTACTGGAATGATAGCAGTAGTACTGCAAGTAGTAGGATATTTAACATCATCGTTATCATTGAGCATCAATGGTGCACGACACAATGGACATGAGCTCACAACAGGAGCATGGTGATGATAGTAGTATTGCCGCCCCCTTTGATGACTTGATGCTCCATAATCATCATGTGCAATAACTTCCTTCATACAGGTCTTATGGAATTCATGACCACATGATTTCAACTTAACCCAGTTACCACCTATTGACCCATCCTGTAAACATATTGCACACGTTTGTCCATCCACTACAGGCCCACTCTCCTCTTCCTCAGCGACTGTTTCCAACAATAACGCTGCTCTCGTATTGGCTCTCTCTGTCTTCACTCTGTTAGCTTCAGTTATTCGACGGGCTCGGGTGACTTGTTTTCGATACGAAAGGTACCGAGATAAAGCAAATGGTAGAAAAATCCAAGCTACTAGTACCACTATGATCGCAACTCTGCCAGAACCCGAGTTGCTTATCAGACTCAATAATAATACTAAGGCGATTGAAGTCCATACAAAGGCCAGGAAGGGCCTTCGTGCAAAGAGCCGTCGAACTGTACCATTCATGTAGTAGTAGTAGTAGCAGGAGCAGTAGGTTGACGATGACCAATTGAAATTTGAGGAGGTGTTGTCTGAGCAGAGCTCACTACTCCTTAAAAGGAAGATCAATCGGATCAAACTGCGAGGATGAATCACAACTCCATACGACCCGGCTCTATGATGGGGTAGATTCGGAAGAGTCTCAGGAACACTGTTCCTGTAACAGATCGCCAAAGAATTACAGCATCTTGGGAACAGACTGAGAAACTTCGAGAGCGCAAGATGGTCCAAGGTGCCTGCGCAAGGTTCACGTGCACATTGTGCGATCTCGGTCGAAGCTCTCCTGCTACCATCTGGAATGGTTTTGTGTGAAAAGTGCGACGGATTCGTTCGGGCCATTAGGGCCCATAAGCGCTAAACTACTGCTCAATTGACTAACTCAGAATCCACCTCCCTCTCGGAAACGTTATTCACTCGTCTTTACTTTCTTCTCTCGCTTTAGAGGCTTCACTTGAAGGCCCAATGACCGAAACATAAAACTCATTTCTCGACAGGTTTCCTCATAGTTCTGTGGCGCAGATGTGGTACCGAAGTGTCCACCCTCTCCAGCCTTATGGATGCGTACCACAAGATTATCTGTCTCAGTGGCTGTTCGTAGTCTCTCAGCCCATTTCAACGGTGCCCAATAAGGCACTCTGGAATCATCCACAGCACAAGATAGGAAAATGGGAGGGTAATCAATCGGGCTATCATCATTCTTATCTAAAGATAGCACATGGTATTTGTCTTTAGAACCATAAAGCTACCTACCGATTATGTTATGATAAGGGGCGTAGCTCTTCATTGCCGCCATCGCATCCGGATCTCGAGTGATATCCCCCCACTCCTCCTTCTCGTGTTGAGTAAGAGGCAGGGTATCATCTAGCATGCATGATAAAGGATCTAGGAAGGGAACACGCAGTATCTGAATGAGATAATAGTGAGATAATGACGAGATCATCGAGCTCATACCGCAGCCCCACCGATCCAACGGTTGCCACACAGGTTGAGATGTTCTGCCAAGATGAGGCCTCCAGCAGATGCTGCTGTTGCACAAAGCAATTGTGGACGGGTAACATCATTGGCAACAAGCCATCTCAAGCAGTCCTCAAAGTCAGTCAAAGAGCGATGACGGCTCGAGCCCCTACAAAGGTGGATAAGCGAGAGAATAAGATGGTGGAATACTTTGCTTGTTGATGCCATGCAGCACCACGCTCACCACCACCCCGGACATGGGCCCATGCCACATTCCAACCCCTCGATATGAGGGAGATGGTCCTTGGATGCCATGCCGCCTCTAATACTGTACCATACACACCATACCTACCAGGATAAGTCGGATACTCCAATAATCGACTCCCTACACTTGCACAAAGGTGGGCGCGGGTTGACCGACACTGCCTGTTGGCGAAGCTAAAGTAAGCAAGATATCAGACGATCCATCACTCGAGGGGACTCTAACCTGAGCGTGGAGATAGACCCTTTGATGATACAATACCAATACTGTACTCACCCTCTCTACAGTCATCTCGGGCTCTCGCTTGTATTGATACTCCCTACTCTTCGTAGCCTTGATCTTGAATTCAGTCATATCATAATCCAAAGCAACACCTGGTACAGCAGGGGAGGAGAATATAAGTCTTGAGCTCTTGGCGAAGAAGTCACCATTCACACCTGATTCGATCACTCTTGCAACTCTGTTGCGAGATCCCCATATTAGTACTTACCTAGTTCCACTGCCCCCACTTTAAAGCGACCAACAAAGGGGAATCGGAATGCATCATCAACATCAGGATGCAAGTCAACCTCTTTGTTTATCAACTGTGCAGCAGTAGGTGCTTTCTCTATTGTCCCAGAGAGAGCATCGTCCACCATTTGTTCCCCTGCACTGGATTCAGGATCCTTCCGTCTCGAGGCCTCATAGTCAGCTAACTTCCGAGAAGCCTCTCTCTGAGACGCATTGTCGGGTGCACCAGAGATGACCTTCGAGAACATATCTTCCACAGTCTCTTGGGGAGGCTTCTCTCTCAAGTCCAATACTTTATCGGTGGGATCCTAAGCCGTAACCGATAGGACATTCAACTGTGTATCAAAGACTACATGATGCTTAGCCCGATGCTGCATAAGATGAACTAACGGAACGAAAGCAGTGGGCTTGTCCTTCTTCACATGCTCGGGTGTTCCACATTGCGTGTCCTCGAAGTGGACTGCCTGGACAGAGTGTGCAAGCAGTAGGATGGTGTTTGGGCTACCTCTACAGCAGGTTCCCCCTCCATACCCCAACCATAGAGCATAAGGCATCTATCAAACATATCGATATCAGTTATAGACATCTCGTCTGGTGTATGGAAATGTTCCCAAGAAGCTTCACCCACCCCATTTGTAATATCTGCTAAACTTGCCCTATATACAGCAAAGTCAGGGTTGTTCTCATTGGATACAGCGTATATATACCCCCATCGATGTTCACAATAGTATTCTACACCAGGAGTAGGAGCCTTCACAGGCTGAGGTATGCCATGCTCCGAGTCACTGGGTATGACCGAAACCCTCGATGTGGTCTTTGTAACGGCAGACATAAATATCACTTTACCATCCTTGCTCTTAAACACGTCAACGTACTCAGCTGGATCAGTGCTCTCAAAGACGACCTACACCACACAGTAGGCGAGTGAACATAAGTGAAGATAGGTACTTACATCATTCACACTGCCATCGATAGTTCTGCGCACAACCCTCCACGATCGCAATGTATCGGGGTCCAGCTCGGTGTAATATAACATCTCCTTTCCAGGGATATAGGTCACCTTGTCCACCCATTCAAAGTTCCGAACCAGGGGTATCTACCACTACTCATCCTAGCTCCTGCGATAGTTGAGTAGTACTACCTCGGGGTAACCAGTGGGGCCTCCACCCGGTACGTGTCGGAAGAGGAGATCGAAGCGCTCATCACCATTGAAGTCGACTACAACCCCGACAAGGGAATTGGAGGGAGCAAGCTTTACCGCTACGACTTCCACATAACTGAGAGTAGGAAGATGAGCACAGCCTATGAGGGGGATGGCAGGGGGAGGAGGACCTACGTGCCTTGGCCACGCTCTTGGACAAGCTGCCTCGTACACAGGACGACTTCCTCATCAGCAGCATGGGCACTAGAACCGGCCACAGATGCAGGTACACGACAAAATCGGAGGAATTGAAGGCGATCCTGATCTAGCTCTTCCTGAGATGTAGCGTTGTCATCCGAGCCGACCATTCTCTGGAAATATAAGTATCCTGCAGGGAAGATAGATAACAGAGTCCTAGACACGAGAGTGGTGATACCCTTATCTTCTTCTGGTGATGACGCCCCCTCGGGCACCAACATATCAGAGGCTTCGTCGTAGAGTATCTTCTCATACTTGAGCCCTTTAGGATCAGAAAAATACCTACATACCTCAATCGAGCCTACTAGGGTGATGCGGGTGGAGCCCTTGTACTCATCAGCTAGATCGTTCTCGGCATCAATTATACTCTGTATGGTCTGGGAAGTGGTAGGATCTGCTACTTGTAGGAATGCCCATGGATCATCCGCCGGATTGATTGGACTCGGCCCAGGGATGCGAAGCAGTCGATCTAATTGAGTACATATCAGATTGATAGGCTACGTCAGACTGTAGCCCCGAAACCTACGTGTTCCATGCCGGAGACCGGTAGCTGCTGTCAGACGGGCGCCGTGGCCAGCTACACCGCCATTACGCAGAGCCTGGTTGAGGACTCGCAGCATCTTTACACTTGCAGCACCAGCCGATGATGGTAGTGGCATAAGCAGGAGAAGTAGACGGCTATAGAACTATTTCCGAAGGGAGGCGGGAGTCGAGACGACGACGACGAGGAGGAGAAGGAGGAGGACGGGGAGGAGGACGGAAGGAGAGTATGATAGAGAGCTCGAATGGGAAAGCCAAGTACTCGCTGACCCCCCTCCTAGAACGCAGAAGTGGATAGGGTGTCATTGCCTCTCTATTGGTTTGAATTCTCTACGGCACATAGGACATGGCTTCTGATCATTGATCCACCTAATAGGATGATGATGATGCCGTATTGGTAGAGTAGTAGTGCTTACCTTGATATACAATGGACATGGAAATGATGACCACACTGTCCCCATACAGGAGGACAGTCATCTCCAGGTATCCTACACTCCCCACATGTAGCATCGAATGGTTGACAGCATATAGCACAGTCTTCCTAACACGATATAATAGTGGCTGGCATCATCATCATCATGTCACGCAGACCCCACTTCAGCAGTCTTCCACCTCCATGCAGCTACAGCGTGGATTTTCTTCACTTTAATCTTCATCACAGTCAGAAGAGGAAAGTATCGGACAATTGCAACTATCAAGACGCTAGCGCACCCTGCTTGAACGCTACACCCGAAGACAACACGGGGATGTTATATTGTAGCCGTGATACCGAGTATAGCATCATGGCTACACCAAACATGCAGATACTTTTTCTAGGGCATACTACTTCTAGCTGCCATCGGTAACATACTTGAATCTTGTACACAGGCTGGACAGATCTAGGAATCTAGGGAGTTCGATTTAGCCAACCAAACTCCTAGTGTATACTTGTTTTAGGGATACATTCATTATTCTGAGAGATTGTATGATTATTCGCCGTATTACCCGAGAAATCGAGTTTTCACGCATGTGCATAAGAAAAACGCACGCACAGTAGACGGGGATGGGTTGTAGGATGGCCGTACCCGGAGGCTGTGCATTGAGCTTTCTAGCTAATTGAGGACACTCAGCCCATAGAGGAGTTCAAGCTCACTATCTTTTATGCTGTAGCTAATGTTGCAGTCAACTCTGATCACAGCTCACCTATTGTGACTTTTCCGGAGTATATCTGAAGTAAATAGTCTAACTACGTCATGCTTACAGGTATGAGGTAAACGTGGTAGGTTAGGACCTGGTTTGACGAATGGTATAAGCGGGCATCCGAAGGCATGGTGATGCAATATCAGGGAGCAAAGGGGAACTATACAAACCGGCAAGCAAGTCAAACGATGACGGTACTGGTGAGAGCACCTCCTTCCTAAAGATTGATAAAGATTAACCCCAACACGGGCACACTCCTCTGGTGAGTCTATCCGTGCATATTCACTGAAACGAGTCTGGAGGAGGTAAGAGACTATTATCGATACAGCATGGTACATAGTGATGGTACACAAAAACTGAACATTAGCATCTCTCAAAGACTTTGTATAGGTCATCCAATTCGACCAATTTGCGGACTATTGGTGATGATAGTGTTGTATCACCACTTGGTGCCCATCGTTGGGGGGCTTGGAAGGGAGCAGGCCGAGATACATACCTCAACCATAGCTGATGTAATGGGTGGACTGCCGTCCCACCGACGGCGTCTGAGACACACCGACCAATATCGATCACACTTCAAAAGCTCTTCCTCCTACTCGTATTACTCGGGGTGACTATAACGCTTTCCTGCACTGCCCATACTCCTAAAATTCGAGCTAGAGCATCCACTTGGGGGTCGCTAACCTCCCCTTCGGGTACTTGAGCCCATATCCGAACCAATAGTCTAGCGATAGCAATCTCGATGCAAGCTATGTCTTCTGGATACGGCACTATAACGTCTGGTATTTTGTCAATCACCTGCTAGTACCAACTGACATCAGCGACCTCCCCGTACCACAACCCCTTACCACGCCAGCCTCAGTATCGGTGTTTAGGACGAGACCAGCCTCAGCGATGAGTGAGAGCATCTCCGGCTTAGTGAGCCTATTCACAATAAGTCTAGCCTTCGACGGGTCTAGGCAGAGCCTGTCGACTAGTATAGCATCCGCATTGAGATGAAGTCCCGCAACATCCCTCGATAGAGATGGGCTACCCCAACGTCTGAGCACCTGGCTGATACCTAGAGAGTAAGCCTGCTGATGTAACTACCTGTTGATAAGCAGCCTCCATAAGGACTGGCCCTCCTTCTACTAGGTAGAGTCCCCTCTTGTGTTGGATGAGTAGCCTTAACTCCTCTCTATTATCCTCCTCTAATGGTCCAACCCAGACACTATGGGTAAGCAAGTCCGTCAGATGATCACTAGAAGAGCTACATGCTGACTGCATCAGTCGTGTAGCAGTTCCACAGTGTATCACCAGTAACCGTGCCTCCCCCTCCTCGGTAACAGCAGTAGCCTCATCATCATCACCATTACTAAACTGCTGTTGCTGGTGGTCTCCTTGGTGCTGTTGTTGTTGTGAGTACATATGCATGGTAGTGAGAGATGCCTGCGTGTTATCGACTCTAACAGGTGCAGCACTGATCATGCTGGTTGACGAGGATGAGGAAGAGGGCCTGTTCCGGCCTATCGCTGTGGTATGAGGAGGACCTCTTCCAGTGACCGGTACGATATAAGTTCTAGAGTAATGATGGCCCTTCAAGGTGGCATCCAATAGAGTCTGAAGGCCCTCAATCAATGACTCCATATGACTTATCGTCACGTCCTTCTTGGTTGGATGTACGTTCACATCTACACACTCTCCAGGTAGGTTGAAGGATAGATGGACTGCGCCAGGCTTCTGCCCTTTTGGGAGGTACCTGCCTTAAGGTGTATTCAGTAGCTCAAGTAGAGGTCATACCTCGAATAAATATCCCCAATAGCCTTCCGCAATGGAGCACACTCAACTAGCCTCCCGTTGATGAATATCGTACACCATCCACCGGTGGAGCCTAGTGAAGTAACACTACTAGTTGGTCTCACACTGTGAATAATAAGCTCACCTCCAGAGTAAACAGTATGACGTTGAGAGCCTCTATAATAGGCAGCCGAGTTACCATGAGTGAGGAAGCCTCTCACTGATGCTGTATATTCCCCCGATCCAACATCGATGTCAGTATCAGGGAGTTCTATGAGGTCTTTGGCGACTCGATCACCAAGCACGAAGTGGAGCACCTTTAGCTGTTCATCGACCTCTCCACCTATCATCCGTATAAGATGTCATGACAGCTAGCGAGCCGCCTGGCCTACCAGGACTCGATATATCAGCAGACCCATGGCGAGCATTGCGACAGGTAAAGGCTATCGTATAGTATTCTGCGGCGAATCGCGAGACCTGATGAAATAGCGTGTAGATCGGTACGGAGAGGGCAGCCACTACTAAGTCAACGATACGAGCATACTCCTCTGACTGGGTATTCATGAGGGAACGTCTGCGTGTAGGGAGATTATAGAAGAGATCAGTGAAGTGGACTGAGGGAGTAGACCTCCATAAAGAGGATGATAAATCAGTGAAAGCCTCACTGGTGGTCCCAGGTGTAGCAGCAGTAGGTTGAGCCTCATCAACAGCTTCCCCATCCATATACTCACACCTATACCCCACTTGTGAGTCCTGAGCTACTGCATCACAGACCTCAAGTTCTGAGCTTTGCCTACCTCGGTCATAGTAGTTACTGTTAGCCTTGCTACGTGGGAGATAGATGCCAAAGCCTCCCCACGAAAGCCGTGGGTCATGATACTCTGCAAGTCATCGAATGACCTCAACTTAGAAGTCGTAAAGCGCCTGGCAAGATACAAGTACTTTCCGGCCGATCGGTCGTAAGCCCCACTTGCACAGTATAGGTAGATCCTCCCTTTGGATGCCACACCCATTGTCTGAGACTGTTATTGCGCCGTTCGCACTGAATAGGACCTGCTGTAGCCAGGTTGATTGATATGTCATCAGCCTGCTGCCTATAACGCCAGCAACCTGCCTGTATCCTAGTAGAGCCAGCATCGATGCTATTCTCCAATAGCTCCTTCACAGCATTCACCGGCCTTGCCACCACCTCTCCAGCAGCTATCCTATTAACAACAGCCTCTGGGAGCTGTACAATGGGCCGAGGCAGAGCAGGAGGAGGAGGAGACTCCCGTTGCTTGTGCGTCACAGAGGTAGTCTGGGTTGTCTCCATAACAGTACTGTCCATCGAGCACCGTGGAGCCCTATATCCCTCGCCACAACACGTATGGTACAGAAACTCCTCACTAACACTACGTAGCCGTGGTCGATGCCAGATGCCTGAGAGGCTCTTTAATGACTTTGTCACGGGTGAATAAATGTCGGATGTATCGTATTTCCTCCCTCCAATGGAGATCTGGCTGGGCCTTCTCTAACCAGTACCGTAGGGCGTGGGCCATCTACTAGGACAACTACAGGACGAGCATACCTCGAAGCATTCCACTTACTACGCCTGAGGACATAAGCAGCTGAAAGTCAGAGCCCCCCGTGGGGAGTAGAGTGAGTACACCGCACTCGACGAGGATGCCGAGCAGCCTATTGCTATCCTCTAGGGCCTCCCATGGGCCCTGACACTTCAACGAAGCGCCCTCTGAACCGAGTACTTGCACCAACTGAGAGTAGGATATGTGCCAACAAAACCCTGCAATAGAACTGCCTTACATAACGTATAGTCTCATTGATTGTGAACATGTAGTCCAGCCTCCCTTGATCACGGAGCTGTACGATATAAGGATGCGCCAGGAAAGCCATCCACCGGTTGTTAGCCTACAAGCGGTTACAGCAGCATAAGAGTGGTGACGAATACTACCACTCGGCTGGCTGAGGATAGATCGCCACCTTCACATACATCCTTCCAATGGCTCAATCGACCCAGTATGATCGGGGATAGGGTGTCAAAGTAGGGTATCGATTGGGCATATAGATCGGCAAGGAGCGAGACTGTGAGTAGAAGTATCTCACCCACATACACGCGAATGGACTTACCATCAGGGTCCTCAACGACGAGGGATTGGTCACAGTACTCCGACTCCGTAAGATAGTCCGACTCCATCACTAGAGGGACACCCTTCTCCTGTAAAGCTACTCGGAGGTCTCTGAGGCCAGGGACCATGGGCACTCCTATCATCGACCCCATATCGAGGTAACCCTAACCCTTACCGAAGAAAGCCCTCTCCACGGCCCGAAGAATTGAGCCATCGGGATCTTCGGAGTAGATCGGCGTGGAGTACTACTAAAGGGAGCTCCATTGACTGACCTTACAATAACAGACGAATACAATACCCTGCTCCACAAAGGATAAGACTACAATAAGAAGCGATGGCTAGAGGATCACGGCCAGAGAGTACATCAGTCCTGTTGAGCTCATCTATAAAAACATCCAAATTGTAGTGGGAATACCTATGACATGAGGGGAGTTGGGAGCTGGTCGAACAATGGCCTTCCTATTACCGCTGCATGTCTACGACTATGCACCTATATCGAGACTCCTCCATAGCCTTCTCAAGTACAGTAGTCTTGCCTACCCCTGTTGGACCATAGACCTATATGACGGCTATTTTGTGGAGAATGAGTGGTAATATACAGACAATATACCCTCGATATCCTCCCCAAACGATGGTAATATACTGTGACTTACTCCGTATGCCTCACCATCTGTGGCCTCGAGGGCTTTACGTATCTCCATCACATCGTCCTCTCGGTAGATGTAGTTCCATGGGACAGGACACTCAAGAGGTGGCAAGCTAGTAGTCCGGTCCAATAACAACCTGATACACAATTACTCATATTATCTTAGCGCCACCAGCAACAGCAGCAGCAGAAGTCCATTGGTATCACGGTTTGGGCTTCTCAGGTTTGAGTGCTGGCCCGAGAGCTCGACTGGCGAACCATCGGCGATAGGCGAGGGGCCCAGCTGTCCCTAAGCGGTGATATCTTGCCAGGGCTATCGATGAGCGGAGAACATGCATCTGTATTGAACTGAGGTCACTGTGGATAGGCGCTGTCTCACCTCCATTGACTGAATTAAACACAATAGAGAGAGCATTCTAGTATGGTCTCAACTGAGTACTTCAGATTGCTAACATTAATACATAAGTATAACTGTGTCTTTGGATGCAATTGTAGCCACATTGGGGAAGTCCACTAGGAACAGTAGACGACGACAAGGGCAGTACTCGTACAGCATACGAGTACACACATAATACAGTAGCCACTATAATGGTCTAGGTGGCCCCAGTAGCATGGCATCAGGCCCTCCAACATGATTATTATTATCACGAGCCCTACCAAGGCCAAGGAACTTCTTCAATCTACGACAAACATACCATAGGCAGATATAGAGGTACACCAGTCTCTGACACAACAGATACAGTGCTGCTACTACCACTACTAACCTACTCATCACAACTACCTCCAATAATTTATGCCTTACTGACGGTAGCGTTATGAGCAGTAAAAGGGTACACCCTAAGGCTACAGTCCATGGTAGAAGGAGCAGAATCATGTCCTGATAGATATCCAATACCATAGCATGTCAGTCTTCACTCACATCACTAGATGTCCGACTCGATGTTAACTCAGTGCCATCACCATTGACGAGCACGACTCCTATCCGCTCCACCTTCCCTTGTGCGAGGTACTCACTATCTCCAAGAGTGCTAGCATTACCAAGAAGAAGAGACATAAAAACTAAGGGGCCTGTCAATGGAATACCCCAAAAGGACTACAACGAGGACCTCAGAAGAGTTATCGAAACACGATGTATGGGGGTGGAGAATGCAACAGCCCCCCAACTCAGAGATCAGAGTCGCTGCTGGGTATCGGGACTCCATACGGCGATAACAGAGAGGATACTCCAGGCTAGGAGTAGGATCGGGTCACAATCACTGCTCGATTATATCACGTATGGCTAGGATGGGGGTGTGCTTTGGGCTGCTGCTCATTGCTACTACCGCTGCCCTCACTACTGGGCATCTCACCACCAGAGTGCAGATCAACATCGATACCTCTCTGCTGCTTCTCCCACAGATCTCTATATCTGCCCAATGAATGATAGGACACAATCATAACGACAGTAGCAATACTTCCCGTTTGGTAGTTTAATAAGGTCCTCATGAGTGCCCTTCTCAACTAGCTTGCCGAACTCCAGCACCTATTCGAGAGATCCTATGAGAGCACTTTAGAGGTATAGTTGCGGATGCTCCTCTCTATAGTAATACCCTAATACCACTATCTGGTTGGCATGCCTTATAGTAGAGAGACGATGTGCAATGACAATAGTTGTCCTATTCTCCCTCAGATTGGCCAATGCTATCTGCACAGCTTGCTCAGTAGCAGAGTCCAATGCAGAGGTAGCCTGGAAGAAGTATGGACAAGCATCACCACAAGCAGGTTGAAGCAGCATTCGTTCACCTCGTCGAGCAAGAGTATTGGGGTGTTCTTCAGCATACACCTGGCTATGGCCAGCCTCTGCTTCTCCCCTCCTGAGAGCTTAAGGCCCCTCTCACCGACAACCTAACAGGGATGCTACATCAATGCAATATAAGTGAGCATGAGCATACAGTATTCATGCCATCTAGCTGCTGTTTAATAAGCTGGTCCAACCTAGCCTTACGAGCTACTTCCCAGCATTCCTCATCTGTTGCATCAAGACGACCATACCTAGTATATCATCATCATCAACACTGCATACTCATCCCCTATAGACACAGCCCTACCGTATATTGTGTATGATGGTATCATTGAACAACACTACATCCTGTGGTACGCATCCTATCTGGGCTCTTAGACTCTTCTGAGTCACATCACGGACATCATAACCACCAATACGTACGGCACCATCATCAACGTCAAAGAAGCGGAATAGTAGTCTGAGAGCAAATACAAATGTAAGCATCCAGCGCATTGGTAACTTGTGAATGCATGCCCTTTCGTTCTCTTCTAACTACACGCCGACTCACCTAGAGACTGTGGTTTTGCCAGAGCCAGTGACTCCAACAATAGCAGTGGTTGTGTTCTCAGGCACTACGAAACTGCAGTCCCTCAATGACCTCGAATACTGAAGCGAAGCTGCTGCTGCTGCTGTTGAGGACCAGGCCTCGTTGGTTATCATATGACTCACCGGTTGCCTCCTATATTTGAAGTACACATGGTCGAATACAACTAGATCTGCTACGGTACCAGGCTGGATCCTCTGAGGAACAACACTGTAGTATTCCAACAAGAAGAGCAGTTACACTCACGAGCTCAATCGCTCCAAGCTTATCCTTCACATCATGAGGTTCCTTCAAAAGCTGCCCAAAGGACTGCATATCGATGATGGAGTTGATTACCATATTGTAGATGGTCCCTAAGGAGATGGTGATGCATATGGCGATTCAACATGGTATCAACGGTATACCAACAACAGCCTACCTAACCAGCTTAAAGGGGCGAATAAATTGAGGACATATGCATTGACAGCTACGAAGGCACCTAAGTAAGGTGAGGAGGTACTACCTAGATCCCCCAAGCCCTTGATAATAGTTACCTATGTCACTATGATCCATCACTGATTCGTCAGCCATGAGTAGGAGTGATACAATAGTAGTAGCACATATTACGAACTGACAGATACGTGTAATACTCCTATACTCAGTGTTACTAATTTTTGTTGCTTACAACTTGTGCTACGTTAAGTATACTGAGGGATGCCTGTGTCATCATGCTATAGGCCTGGAACCTATACACCATCATTCCTACTACTACTATCAACAGATTACTCCCCAGCCTACTGAGACACAGCTTTAGTGAACTCCATCAGCTCATAGTCCTCATTACCAAAGTACCTATGACCCGGCATATGGTATGACTATGATATCTTCCTCCTCTTCCTCACTTGATAGTCTCGTAGTTGGTAAGTGAGTCATTGAGTCTATCATGCAGCTCATTATCATGTACCATAGTCCCTTCTCGGAACTTCTTACGCCATATGGTCACCTTTACTGTAATGTATCTACAAATGATCAACATGATGATGTATTACCCATTCAAGGGTTCTTACATGTAGATCCCTAACGCGAGCAGACACGTAGCTGCTAGACGTGCGTTATTGAAGTGTATAGTGAAGATAAGGGTTACTGCTACACACTCTGCAAGTGTTGGAACCAGATACAGGAATAGGTACTGACAAGCATTATAGTATCACCACCACTACTTCTATACACATCTACCTGCATCATCATCTGGGCAGCTTGGACTCCTCGAGTAAAGCTACGTACCTAGGAGGGCTTGAAGTCAATATTGGCAAGGGAAGGCCCTACAGTATTGCCAGTCTTCTTCCTTATATGCCAATCAAGAGACAGCTCATGGAGATGCTTAAACGTTAGGTTGGCTATCTCCACATATCTGCAGGATAAGTACTGGGTTGGGCCTGTATCACCTTGCCCTACGCGCTCTGTTGTACACTGATATACATCAAGGACTGTGCCTCCTTGAAGGACTTGGATAGAGCTGTGAGCAAGGCGTAGAGTACGATATACCATATCAGGGAGCTCGACAGTACCGGCGATCTGACTCGGAGCCACCACACTAGAAAAGGTACTCCACTAGTGATCTTACTTGCTGTTTAGAAGAGATGTAAGCTCATTGGTAGCATAAGCCAAGTATAGAGGTGATATCACATTACATATCTTAGATAGAATAACGCAGAACCATGTACCAGCAGCACGACACCGGTTGATGAAACTGACAATTGACACGACGACGACGCTCATCCACTACGTGCCCCTATGGGTGGTAATACACTTTATGACGGACATCTTCTCCAGTAGCTGTAGCCGGGGTAGTTGGCCAGAAGTATGGTTTCAATACCTAGTACCCCATCCCATGGTCCTCATCCCATGACCTCATTTATGATTACCTTCAGAGTCTCCCACATCCCCAAGCCTTCGAACCGATATTGGGGCTCGGCCGCTTCTGATGCACCATCAGCATGACCATCCTCTACATTATTAAGTAGAGAGTTTTTGAATTCCTGAACGTGCTCAATTACCTGTGATCAAAGCTTATAAATGCCATACACCCCAACATCTACTACCCCAACAGTGTTCTGTAACCTATTAATGATGACCATATCCACCAGGCAGACTAGTAGCTCAAACCCGAGCAAACCCATTAAACTTAATTCCTGCATACGGGGCTGAGATAAGAACAGACCGCCTTAGATGACACCCCCGCCCCCTCCTTCTCTACATACCATCAATGCAGCCTTGAATAGTATGAAGGCGATGCAGAAGCCACACAAGGAGTTTGTTACTTCTAGTTTACCTACCAGTACTGTTAGCTGGTCGAGACGAAGAACTAATCACTTACGTTTGGAGCTGAAGTGTAGAGCGGCCGCAATAAATCGTACTACGCACAAGGCCCAGATATCCACTGTACTCAAGGAGGGGTTGTATGCACTGGCTACGTCCAAGTGGAACTACGATAGACCTTTCAAAGGAGAGATCTATGGACTTCAACCCACCCATGCACTCAAACTTCCGTGCCATACGATCTCCAAGAGCCCCAATACGATGATATCAACAAGCTCCACAAGCAAGAAACAACGATTGTAGGAGGACCGTCGAGCTGACAGCTCTTCGGAGTACTGAAAGTAAGGATATGTTGACCATACACTGGTGAGTTGCTGCCTTACCTTAGCCAATGCCTCCTGGCTCATTGGACCCTCTAGATCATCATCATCCCCTTTAGGTCGAGCACCATAACGCATGCCACCACCGAAACGACCGCCTCCTCCCTTCATCGTGTATAATCAAAGAGTAGGAAACTTCCCATTAGAATACAACTCGGTGAACGCTACTCGAGGACGTAACGAGAAACTCAGGAAGAAGTATTAGGATAAAAAAGGAATAGCGTATTAGGAATATGAAGTGTAGTTGTTGTACGATATAGTACTATATTGTATAGAAGGGTACACGATCTTACATGGTATCATCCATACCACTAGAATTACTTGGTAGATTAACTATGTACTTGTATGCTGCTGATAATACTACAATCTCGGGTACTGTCTTGAGTATGAACACACCTAACCCTCTATATAGGGTCATGTTCAATCCTCCCCAAGGCAGTCCAGCCATCATCCTCCTTCGTATTGTCTCTACTGGATAGGTCGCTATCCCTGCTATACCACCAGCTACCCCACCAGCTATTACTGGATCACGAATTCTATCCTTGCAATACCCGTATGCCTGAGGTGGTATAGATAGTATACTACCAATAACGTATGCTCCCCACATTGTACCATCATAGCCACAGCAGAGTAGACAGGAGCGGCCAATAGACTGACCCCCAGACCTCTATACAGATCACGTGCTCGAGTGATTGGCAATCGTGACGGCATGGCCATGACCAATCGCCGTGTGTATCTACCAACAAACTACCATCATGTGACTACCACAAGTAGCCCTATTACAAGACATCCAGAGGGTACATGACGATCATTGCAGCTGCTCCTGATAATATAGTAGATGCTAAGCCTTGGCCTTTAGTATTGCTATCCAATACTGGACGGAGGTGGCAGTGGTAACTGAAGCTTAGTGAGCCCACTTGATGAGCAGAGAAGAACCCTACAGGTAATGACGTATCCAAGTAGTGCCAGCCATATGGAGCAAGTGTATATGGACAGCTGTATAGTGATGGCCCTGGGCACTCCTCAATACACTACGTATAGACGGGAATAATCTCTGTGTAGATACCGTCGATGTTTGCAACTAGGAGGCAAAGTACCACGTCGATAAGCATCTCTCTCCCTATTACCAATATCCTGGCCCTATCAGCAGGAGCACTCACTAACTTAGCAGTAAGTGCGGCTAGACCATGGGAGAACAAACTCGCATAGAACATGCGCTCCTCAGAAGGGACTTCCAACGACGACGACGACGATACTGCTGCTGTTGCAGGTGTAGTAGTCCCCAGAGTACTCGGCTTGAGTGAAGATATGTCTCCTGCTATAACCGACTTAGGATACCATGAGGTGCTCTCCTTAGGGTGCTGGTGTTGACTCATCGTCGTGGTCCAGCAGAAGCCTCGTCCAACCTAGTACTTTAACTATGACATCATCATCATCATCATCATATTGCCTCAGCCAAGTGAACACAGTAGGATGTGTAGCGAAACGTAATGATGGTAATACGATGGACTAAAAGTCTATAGGGCAGTCCTGTAAAGTCTTATTATCAGCATCTATCTTCATCACGTTTACCAGACTGTTCGGCGATGGCTCTATGAACAACAATATGAATCCTTTAACGATGGTATGATCCTACCAGTGCTGCCACCACCACTAGCAGTCATGCTGTAGGCTAAGGCATGCTCCTTTGGTGACCATGCAACATGGTTCACTGGATGGGGTATCCGATTGTTCTTGCCTATGAGTTTCTGAGCTACGTCCACATACTCCACTCCAGTCATAGTACCAGCTATGACTAGATTACGATCAATCACATCATTACCACCCGTAGACGGTAATGATGTATATGCAACCAAACTACCATCGTGACCTAAGACCAAGGGTGTGGCAACTACCCAATAGGTATTGTGTACTACTCAAAGCGACTGACTGTATAGGAACATGAGTAGAAGAGGAAAAGGTCCTTATACAGGTGAGGTCCGCTACTGACCAAATGTCCACCAAGGAGTCTCCCTGAGGGAGGAGCTGAGTGAATGACTTTCCAACCGTACTACTACCCCTCCAGATGCCATAAAGCGTCCATCTCCACTTCTGGATAATGTGAAGGTAGTAGACTGGTGGCCGATAAGCACCTCCGAGGGCTTCACTGCGTCTGGTGGGCATTGAGATCCTTTAAGGAGCTGTGGCAATGAGCGGTATCAGCCCATCGGATCACTGTCTATTATTACCACATCATCGTCGTAAAGGAGTATTTTACTAGGAGCTCCAGTAGTAGCCGCCCATAGTGAGTGAGATCCCTCATCTATTATGACAGACAATCAAGAGCCCAATACCCTAATAATAGTACTACCATAGTTATCCCATAGGATCGAATATACCTCCGTATTAGCAGCAGTATTAATCTGCTGACTAAAGGCAAAGGAACCTATATCATTCAGTGCATGATATCACTACCAATACTGCTACTACTACTACCAACAGGAGTCTGTCCCTCTCTACTCGACATAGTCGAGGACACTACCATCCTAGGGTCTAGTATCTGTATCGTCCCCGCCTACATAACAGCAACATTGGGCATTCACCCTAGACCAGTTACTACCCTGCCATAGACAGCCAAGAAGCGGCCATCTGGGTGCCAAGTAACGTTCAATAACTTTTCAAGCCCCTTAGGCTCGGTAGGCCCTGGGTTTTTCGAGAACTCTGCGCTGAACCTGGACGTGGTAATACCATAGTCAGGTATTCCTCCCTGCCTTGCAGTAGTACATGAGTCCATCCTTGCCGCTCGGTGCTCGAGTATCCAATATTTTCACTAGACCATTGAAGGTGACAGCCGCAATAACATGTGAGTCTATGGGATGAGGCTCGGCCCATGTCCATGTATCCCCTGTCCACTGACGTTCTTGCATACACTAATGGCGTACACCTCTAGCAACCCATGTGTTACTCGTTACTTACTCGATTAACATTCCACAAGACCATATTGCAGTTACGATGAGCTACTACTAGATGATCACCATCACAAGTCCAATCGAGGCAATCCACGTCCTCCAACTGTTAAGTGAAAGACACTGAGAGTGAGTTCATGAAGGTGGTGAGTGTTACCTTTGGACGACTCTCCCGACTACTGGGGGGAGCTGCCATCGTAGAGAACTTGGCGTAGTTCTCCAAGTTATTGAATACGTTTAGGAGTCTATAATGTTGGTCTACGAAGTAAGGATGAACTTGCCTACATCCATTCATTATAACGGTTGGATTGGTGACTCAAAACTATCTGGATATTCCCTCCTGTCTACCTTCACTAACTCAACTTATCATCACTACTCGGTAATACTGTGTTATGATGTTATCACTTCTCAACCTTGGAACACAACTTATGTGATGGAGTCGTATAGAGGTAGAAATCCGACTGTAGCACAGACAAAACATTGAACTGTTAGATGAAGGAGATGTTGCCCTTATTCCAAAGATACCCGATTCACTAGAAAGATTTGCGTATAATTAATGTTCGGAATAGGCTCTCCTTACGACATACCACCACCAGAAACAGGTTCAACTCCTCCTCTTCAATGTTTAGTATCACGGATGATATTGATTCCAGGCCTCATATGCGAGTCTACGAATGACTAGTTTCCTAAAGTCTATCATTTCTAGTTTCTAGTCTACCTGAGCTGAATCTTGCACTCTTGCATTTCCTCACTAAGCTGAGCTCGCTTATAGTGGGCGCCGCAGCCTCAGCCTAAATTTGCCGGTTCTCGTCGTTTAGCGGATCGTGAAGATATTCGATGTCCACTTCTGCAGACTTTGTCTTGACTCATTCATTACTCGTAACAGTTTCCGATTTTTTCCGTATAATGGCTACTAAGATGGATGCGGCTGCGATTAACGCAGCTGCCGTGACCAGGGATTATACTATCAATCCTCGTGTTGAGTATCAGACTATCACTGGTGTTGAGGTAAGAACTTACATAGTTAACCTAATGCAACTCATATGAATGATCCCCTTCACAGCTTAATTGTCATGCTTTCTCTTACTGTAGGGTCCTTTGGTCATCCTTGATAACGTGAAGTTCCCCCAGTACAATGAGATTGTCAATCTTACTTTGGCTGATGGTTCAACCAGGCAGGGGCAGATCTTGGAAGTTAACGGTTCTAAGGCCGTCGTTCAGGTAATCATCATGACATAGCTTTGTATCTCCCTGCTACTTACTATATCTAGGTCTTCGAGGGTACTAGTGGTGTGGATAACAAGAACTGCTACATTGAGCTTACGGGTGATACCCTTAAGATGCCTATGTCCGATGAGATCATGGGTCGTTCCTTCAACGGTTCCGGTCAGCCCATCGATAAGGGTCCTCAAGTCTTGGCTGAGGAGTACCTGCCTATCAATGGTTCCCCCATTAACCCCAAGTCTCGTCAGTACCCTAAGGAGATGATTCAGACTGGTCTCTCTGCCTTGGATACCATGAACTCCGTGGTCCGTGGCCAGAAGCTACCTTTGTTCTCTGCTGCCGGTCTTCCTCATAATGAGATCGCCGCCCAGGTGTGCCGTCAGGCTCAGCTTGTCCAAGGTAAGGATATCCATGATCACTCCAAGGAGAATTTCTCTATCATTTTCGGAGCTATGGGTGCCAATATGGAAACTGCCCGATTCTTCCGTAATGATTTCGAGGAGAACGGTTCTATGGAGAATGTGGTCTTGTTCATGAACTTGGCTAACGATCCCACCATTGAGCGTATTGTCACTCCTCGTTTCGTGCTTACTGCTGCTGAGTACTTTGCCTACGAGCGTGAGCAGCATGTCTTCGTCATCTTGACTGATATGTCCTCTTATGCTGATGCTCTTCGTGAGGTCTCTGCTGCTCGTGAGGAAGTCCCCGGTCGTCGTGGTTACCCCGGTTACATGTATACCGATCTCGCTACCATCTACGAGCGTGCTGGTCGTGTTGAGGGCCGTAACGGTTCCATCACTCAGTTCCCCATCCTGACCATGCCTAACGATGATATTACTCATCCTATCCCTGATCTTACCGGTTATATTACTGAGGGTCAGGTCTTCGTCGATAGATCTCTGCATAACAGACAGGTGTATCCCCCGATTAACGTCTTGCCCTCTCTGTCACGTTTGATGAAGTCCGGTATTGGTCGTGGTATGACTCGTGAGGATCATCCTAGTGTATCCGATCAGCTCTATGCTAACTACGCCGTTGGTGTCGATACTCGTGCCATGAAGGCTGTCGTTGGTGAGGAGGCTCTTAGTGAGGAGGATCACTTGTACTTGGAGTTCCTTGATAAGTTCGAGTCCAAGTTCTTGAGCCAGGGTCCCTATGAGAACCGTGATATCTTCCAGTCATTGGATATCGCTTGGGAGCTTCTTCGTCTCTTCCCTGAGAGTATGCTTAAGAAGGTGCCCCAGAAGGTCAAGGATAAGTACTACCCTCGTGATCGTGAGGCTCAGAAGGCCACTCAGGAGTCCAAGTAAGATGAGAAGGTATGGTTGTCATGACCATTAGCAGAAGCTTGTGCATTTTCTGTTGCTACAGCTCTATCATCAGTACAAGGCCCAACTCTCGAGTTGTTTTATAACAATTGCAACTGTTTCCGTAGACAGTGGGGAAGTATGCTTCCCTTTGTGGGCGCGTGATCTCTGTCAAGGAATTCTCTACAATTATCATCTCTTGCGTAGTCACACATAACTAGGTAGAGGAATCGGAGTGTCGGTCGGAGTATCGCAACGCATTTGATCTCCGGTATCGGTATATTGGCCATGGAAACGCATTCGTCTGAGAAATCGTTGAGCATTCTAGTACATGCGAAAAGGAATGTTACTCGAAGTGAGCAGCCAAACAGGGTCGGATAACTTAACCGCAAAGATTGAGGAAATGTGACAAGCATTAGTTCAGCTTGCTGGGGAAGGACATGGTATCCCTGCTAACATCGTTACCTCCTAGTGGCACATCTCACTATTATTTCGACTCAGCAATCTGTGAAGCGGATACGGATCACCTAGTTGATTTATGCACATCCAGTGGCTGAGTAACTTATCAAACACATGGACTGGGTAATGCGGCTATCTGCCTTGTTAGTCGACCCTTAAGAAAGTGTTCGGTATAACTGCATGATCCAACACAGAGCCCATCGTTACATGCTGGCATACCGCTTTTGAATTCGGCTAAGTTAGCGGCGGCACTGGGATATAAACCGATGCATACAGGCGCTAAGAAAGGGCGGATAGAAGGTGAAAAAAGGGATATTCCGAAAGATCTAGGGACAAGAATCGAGTTATTATGCTGGCAACTTCTGCATACTTTGATAACCTCCGATATGCGCATCATAAGATCGTAACACCAGAGTACAACACATGGACAACACCGCTGTGAAGTGGGCTCTAGATGGAAATTTTCAAACTACCGACCTCTGTCCTCTAAAACGAATGTCTCAAGTATGACATGAACGCGCCAAAAGATGTAGTCCTAGTTCCCAGTTCAGGTTCGACATGGGGTAGCGCTTTCCGTTTCAGTCGCAGACTTTGTTAGGCTGTCTATACCTCACATTCCGTTTGGAACTCAACAATGAAAATGGGGGATGAGGATGAACACACCCACAACTTGAGACTATCATTGAAACTTTGTGCTCTGACCACCACGAGGGTCTTGCTCAATCGAATCAGGCTTTGCCGAAGCTCCTATTGATGAACCACTATGGCTTGTTGATTAGCAGGAGCACTCTGTGTCACATACGTAGTCGTGGTGGTGACTGTAGTGGTATCCTCGACCGGCTAATGAAGAACAATCGAGGAATGACAAATTGCTACAAGTGCGCGACCGACACTTGCAGTCGAGAATCGATAACTTACACTGTAAACATCCACAACTTCGTCATCGGTGGTCTCAGTACAACAAAGGAAGTAGATGAGGATGGCAAGGAGGACGATCTAAGAGTATCATGAGCAGAGACGAGGGCAAATGATGGCTTACCAGTAGCACCATAACGAGTATAGTATACCAATGGGCATACCATGGCGTATGGTGAATGATGACCATACTTGTAGTGCCACCAACGGCAGGATAGGGATTCGGTTGCTCAATTACGACTGAGGGTGAGGGTGGAGGGATAACTACAGGAATAGGGGCAACGACGGGAGCAACCACAGGGGCCTGAGACACAGACAATATAGTCACAAGTGCATGAGCTCTATTCCTGCCATTCCTACCTGATGGTGAACGATGGTAGTCCTGTGAACAACAGTACGACGCACCACAGTAGGCTGCGTATGAATCACCGTAGTCCTAGAGTAATGTAGAATTCATGAGACAGACTGACACTATCATCCTACCTATGAACGACCGTTTGACCATCAGTTGCGTTCATCAGCTTAGCCGTCTGAGCTGCCTCGTCCAAGGAGCAATCGGCACCAAAGAAACTAATAACAACAATTTAGTACATCACCAATCAATAGAAAACCAAGTACTCATTGGAACACTGGCATTCGCCTATGTCAGATGGTGCCATGAATCCTGACCCACCCGCGGCTTTCACACACCTGCCGTGCCCACTGCACTGGCTTCCTGGATCAGCTGAGAGCACCTGAAAATATAAGGTCCCAGCCAGGTAATGAATCGTAAGAGTTACACATTCGGAATGGACTCCTTGTGGGATGGCAAACGAGAGTAACAGGAAAGGCGCCCAAGGAGATCTCATCTTCTGCAAGCAAACTGTTGATTATCCTCCAACTACAAACAACAACACAATACAGAGAGTGATAGTTCATCTTGCTATTGATTATCATGCCTAAAACTAGTGATAAATGATATGGCCCATTAGGCGTAGTGATAGAGAGCAGTGATATTAACCAGCTATATGCTATGGTAGAGCACTTAAGCGTGATGCCGACGAGACGGTATGGAATTGATTGTGAGAGGTGAACCCATTCTGCTGTTGTTGTTGGGATTGCACAACAGGTGATGTACCGCTGCCTGCACTGGGGTGCTGCCAGGATGCTAGGGATGCAAAATCTGAGGCTAGAGCAACTCCAACAATCCACGACTGACCATCGTGATCATGGGGACAACCGACACAAAGCCAGACGACAAAAGCATATGGTACTGCCTTCGAGCACCTACGTTGTGTAGGCTTGTGAGTGGGATAGGAAGTCATGAATGGGAAAGAGTATCCTCCAGTAGAGCCACCGACCACCGTGTTTGATAAACCTAAGGTGCAACCAAGTAACACGGATACGACGCCACAATAGACAAGTACTAGATGCCGCTGAGAACTCTGATCGAGTCTCACGGCCGCTGTTCCGCAAAGGCGACGGGCTTCGGAACTGCGAGGGATTCCACCCAATAGAAGTATCCTGTCCAGATTCCCCACACTTGATCACTTGTGCATGCTCATCAATCTAGAGCACAAGAGAGGATGATGGCGGGATGACACCAACACAGTAGAGTACTTCCCCTGTTTCAGGGTCCACTACAAGGACTATCATAGCCCCATCATTTTGGTAGACATTACAATAGTTAGTAGCAGAGAAGACCGTGAGGAGGAGGCCGGAGGCGAAGTATCTATGGGAGATGAGTAGCAGGGTTACGGACACGGCGACGATAAGTCCTATGATTACTCATGTCCACTCTTTACACATTCATGAGCTCGTATGATGAGCTTGATGTCATTGCGTTCACAGAACTTAGCAACTCTATCAGGCCCGAACCGACAGGTGGACTGCCCACGTGGTGATAGATGTATCCCGAGGACCTGATGGTGACATTTTCACTGTGGTGGGTGGGAGAAAGCAAGGCACGTTATCGTTCTCGGTTGGGTCGCTCCAGAGAGCATCAAGAATGACACGCTCCCGTCGGCAAGTGGTACCTGCTGATGACCAGTGGCCAAGGGGTTTCTAACTGTATTCACCTGGATACAGTTCCTCAGTTGAGGCAGCTGGAGCCACAGAGCATGCTGGCACGGTGATAGGCTTGGGGATAGCGGATAGATCGTCCAGGGTATGGATGTTATCACCGATACCTATGCTCATGTATAACAGCATAGCCATAGTGCAGACGGTCGACCTCCGTGAATGCATAGGACTCTGCTGCTGCTGCTGCTGCTATCAGCGCCTGAGTCATGTCTCTGACCAACTCTGGCTGGTGGCAAGCATCTCCCAACGCCACCCGCCGGCCCACTATCAGCATGGCATTCCTCGACTATAGCTGCCAGTGGTAGGTACTCGAAGGCTTCGTTTGCCTTTTCCCATACTAATTCCCCTAAGCACGAGGAGGAAGCTCCTGTAAATGCTAATACGACACTATTGTACCATCAGCGGCACCGAAGCGCTGCTTGGCCCCGGCTAGAAAGCCGTAATTGGCGTTCATGGACCGGTCCTCGTGATTACCACGCACTAGGGCTATCTTGGTCGGATAAATGACCTTCCACAAGGAATGCGGGCAATACCAGCGGACCAGGAGAGGTGTGTAGTCACCTTTAATGAGAGCAAGAGGGCAGCGACCTCTACTGAGAATGCTCCTCGATCCACAAAGTCACCGAGGAATACGTAGTTCATAGAGAAGATGTCACCTTTTCTGGTATGAGGCCACGAGAACTTATTAAAGAATTGGACCAGGTCCTGAATGGCCATATATGCACAGAGCCGTGAGGTTAGCAGCAGCCTTACTGGCAGTTGACCATGTATGTCCCCATAAACTCGGCAAGGTAGAGGGACCGACACGAGGGAGTCTTCCATAGACAAGACCGATACTGCATGGTCGATGATAGTAAGCATATCCTCAGCACCACCAGGGAAGAGGTTTAGTCTATTCCAATCGATACCTAGGGCGGCTATAGACTCAGTTGGGAGAAGAGGCTCTTACGACTGGGTGATGGCGATGATGTGAATTCAATAAGTCGTGTTACAAGGCCATATTCCTTGGCAAAGACTTCTGTCCGCTTCTGTCTCTGGGCTAGAGTGGTCGAGAGACGGATCATGGGGTTAGAGCTCACCACACCACTGCTAGTTGGAGACTACTAGGGAGGATACACCAAGCATGGCAACAGGTGCACCATACTCGTGAATTCCTCTGGAGATTCTCTCGCTGCTTGGTGTTCTCATCTACAGGCCAATACTGTCTGCCAGCATTAAGGAACTGGCAACAGTGACGTGACTCATGATGCGGCAGTGGAAGCCGTACCATGCCTGGCACTGGAGGGTCCTCAAGGGAGAAGGATGGTTCGATGACAGAAGGTCTCGAGTGCAGCAGCATGTTCCGTCCTGATACTGATGGCGTTCCTACCCTGCTTAGCGTCTTGATCGCTACCTTGAGGCCGGCTTGCTCCCAACCCAGATGATCTATACTTAGAGGCAGGTCGACGTGAACAGGAGGAGGTAGAGGAAGATGATATCTCTCTATCATCAGATGGGGGCCTGCACTTCAGTTACCGTTAGCACTGACATTTGCAGCAGACTCTTACGTAAACGTTTTAACATTCCCATCAGACCGGTTGGAGGCGGAGCGACGCTTCCGTAAAGCCTGTTGTGGTAGACTGTGGGGTACGCGAAGGACTTGGCTAGTCCCTGATAGAGCAGGTGTGTTGGGATACACTAGGAGCCGCCTTACCATTGATAGACCCATTCTTGACAGCTTCATAGAACAACTTATAGGTGAGCGCCGCCGAGGCAGAGCCTGCCTCTGACAGTAGAGTCTTGGCCTCGACTATAGAGGAGGCGCGGAGTTCTGCAAGGGTTTCCAAGGTAGTCGATGATGATGATGATGCCGAACGTAGTGCCCTGCAGTGGAGCTGCCATAAAGGTCCACTTCCAAGCCTACCCTCCAGTAGCCCTAGTCAGCTGACGAAGGTGCATGACAAGGCCAGTGGTCTCCTTGAGGTCCAACTGGCCATTCTTGTCCTCATCAAAGTATAGGAATATAAACTGCATACGCAACATACCACTTGGTGACTCGAGGTCATGGGGAGTAAAGGGGTCTACAGCTATGAGCCTAAGACTAGACCATTGGCAGAGGTATCCCCAGCGGAGGGCCCACCCAGCGAGCAAGTCCGTCTCTGATAGCAGACCGTCCTGATCCCTGTCGAAGACCTCCCACAGCTGTTGGGCTGTTATGTGAGCATCATTATCGGTGATAGAGTAATCTGTAAGGCTCGTAACAAGACGCATGTGGGAGTATAGGGCAATACCCTCGAGGAGACGAGTGAACTCCTCCCTATTGAGGGATTGTGGTTTGCAAGCATACTGCTTCATCAGCTTCAACAGGGCAGTGGCGTTATCCTGCCATGTGGACATCATAATCTGCCTTCAACATGAGTATAAGGAAGGGCCTACCTGCCACTTCAATTGGCGTATACACTGTTGTAGTAGCAGCCCATGACTCCTCCAGGGTCCCCATTGCTCTGCTGAGTAACCCTCTTGGAGCCCTGACCCAGCGGTAGTGGGGGGAGGCCTACTTCCTGCTACTGTAGAGTCTCTCATAATACAAACTTTGAACTCATGATAACAATGACCATCATGACAAGGTTATCCCTATACCTCCAGCTACTATGATGATCCCTTAAGCAAATACTACATCCAATGGGCGTCGAGCGCGAATAAGCACAAGCAAGCACCTCCCTTAACTGACTAACAACACAAGAGAGCTTCAACGGAGTATATGGATACATCATTCACATGAACAGCATTGATGGTAGTCGTAGTAGGACTAGATACACACTAGTGGGTTAAGACTGATAACAAGAGGTTAATCGGTACTACAAGTAGTTCATACAATCATGAAGGAGAGTCTCTGCGACTAGCTTGGCATGAGGCGGGTCCACAACATTACTGGTGCTGAGGGATATGTTGACCTACTCGAATTCATAGTAATCTCTATTATAGGTAGTAGAGCCTCTGAATAGGATGTTCCCCATCGGTCGGCTTACTCTACAGTGCTGTAAACCCGCCCCTTCGAGCCTCTTCCTGCTGTATATCTGATGCCTGCTCATACCGGTACTAGTATCAGGTGTGGTACAATGGTTATATGTGATGGTGTCTGTGGCAACTACTACCACCAGCAGCAGCAGCTGTGCTTCTGGGTCCATATGCGTCTATACATCAGGCCTGCATGATGAACTCGACCATCCCATAAGTCTCTCTAGCAGGAAGATAGGACTACCAGGGCCTGGTATCAAAGACTCCCCAAGAATCACAAAGACTTCTGAGGTAAGCAGAATATGCCTCTCACGATGATAGAGTCCTCAGTAATGTCCCCTCATAGTGACTAAACAGGCTCACAATGAAAGCCTAGTAGGAAAACTAGTACATGGTCATGTCAGCAGTGCCATCACTCTCTAACCCCCTTACCATCACCAGGCAGCCGCAGCAGCTGCATCACAGCCTCCCTAACCGCTACGTTGTGTCCTTTCATATAGCATCGTATACAATGGGAAGCACGCGGACACAGCCAGTCCCACACTCAGCGTGGCGATGAGCTGCAGCAGCAGCCTACCTCGAGTGTTCAGTCAATCGTGCCGTTAAGTGTATCAACCGTCTTCCATATAGTCGCAGCTGCCTAGGTCTACTCTTACATAGAGAGCTACTCCTACCATATTAACAACAATTCCCTGACCATCATAGAACATCTTGAGTATCTCTGCCCTGAGCCTTATCCGCATGGGCTTGGACAGCTATAGTAGTCCTGACCACGTCAAAGGGATACACGAGTATGCAAGTTGAGGCATCTAATATCATTCTCGATAGTTATGCGGGCATCGACGTCTGCACACCATAGGTTCACTTTCAACAACCTCGGAAATGTCGTCATCCTATACGCTTGTGTAGAGGTATTTGGACGAGTCTTGGTCATGTTATCTTTCTATAGGGTGGAGATACCTCGACCTCTACCTCTCTGCATTAGCCCCGTCAAACAACGGGAAGCCGTGGCCTACGGCCCGTGGGAGACATTTTCAATTACCACTTGCATCAAGACCTCCACCAACGGTACAAGTCCTCACGACTACAGCTGGGAGACGAATCCCGGCTCTGACTGGTATGGCGTACTCTGTGGAGGCTCTCAGATGACACTATCTGTAGAAGCATTCGACATTATAACATCGATAAAAGGAGCCAAGGATTGGCAACACGGGTCACAGAAGAGAATGGAAACACACGGGAAGTTGTGGATAATACTATTAACACCCTGTTGTATACTTTTAGGGGGGCGTACCGAAGTAGACAGCCTCGACACGAGCAGATAGATCAGTTGAATGAACAGGTACTACCCAGACGCTGCAGCGCTGTCTCAAAGGCACGTCTAGAGTTCGCCCGTTGCCTACAGCTGCAGGGGGTAACTGTAGCTCAGGGATCACTTCCGGTGTGGTATCGCAAGCAAGTACTAAGGAGAACCCCTCCTCAACAGTAAGGTTAACCATACTGAATTGAGAATCTTCCAGCTCCAATTGCTTCAACACTTCTTCATGGACCTTACCATCAGATACAACTAACTGTGTGCCACTACAATATTCCTACTTGATCGTGGATACAATAGGCTTGTGGGCGGCTGGAACGGTAGTGAGTTCCACTGTCCGAGTGTGGCCCACACCCCATCCACCAGAGTTCCTATGCTCGGTAAGGTAGGGGCGAGGACCATTAGGGTCACTCAGGGCATGTGAGGATAATGAATGGCTACATCCCAGGAGTGTGCACTTCATATGGCCTACCGCAGGGATCGAACCCGAGACCTCGGACCTGTGATAGTACCCGGCATATCATCTGGTCCCTCGTAGACGTGTTGAAAAATCTCCATATTCCACGTTTCCGGGACAACCCTCGACATAGCATCCTCCAAAGTGTTAGCACAATCAGGCTTGAGCATTGACAGCGATGCAGAGGTGTGCAGTTCACAGAAGTTCACGATGGCATCCCCATTGGAAAGGAACTGAGTACCCAAACATGGCTGATCCCTCCCTAACCCTGCTACACTACCTTATACCACTTGTCTTTAGGAATGCTATGGGAACCCCTACCCCCACCAGAGAGGGTAAACTGCGATGTCGATACTGCTGGTATGCAAGTGATGGCAATAGAGGCCTTAGTGTCCACTTTAGAGGTGTTTATCAGATATATACCTTGCCATGTACCTTGGTGGTTCGACTGCTACTATCAACACATCTACTAATAAGCCTCTCACCTCGCTTAAGCTGACCTTTCCTAACCGGTAGTGACATGGATCCTCGTGCTAATACAGGTCCTGACTGGCAACCTCTTGGGTCCAGCCGTCTGAATGCTGCTAAATGGTCGCTCTGCACTGTAGGGTCGCAGTTCTCGTTCACTGATAGCCCGAAATCTACTCAACTATGTGGTGAAGTACCAACAATACAAGAAGAAGGCTTACGAGAGGCAGTGGGTCCAGCAAGGGCAAGGTTGCATAGACCGTCACGACTGCCCAATCTGGATGATACCTCCCTCGAGATTAGGGAATCTATGATGCTAATGGACTCGCCTCGTAAATGGACAGTCACGATAGACATGATGATATAAAAACACCACGAAACTGACCGTATAACATTGTTCTGAGAGCAACCTCCGATAGCTGCCGATCATAGGTGTGGATGAAAAGGAGGGTTCAATACCATCCCTCTAGCTCATCTGATACTACTGGCCAACTTCACGCGCCACAAAACCCACCGTCACGCGCCATAAAATTCTCAAACATGAGGCAATTGCTTTTAAAAGTCACGAACATAAACGTGGCCCTACGAAAACTCCTGGCCGCATTTCTGGTACTGTGATCAGAACTATGGAACGGCTTATTGAGCAGATCGATAATAGGGCAGGGTTATGGAGGCTTTCATGACTTTTACTTCGACTGAGGAATACCTCACTATATCACACATTCTCGAGGCCCCTATCAGCCCCAACTTTGCATGCTATAGTCACATAGGAGATAATCCTAAGGTCGTTGCTGCTCCTCGATTGGTAAGATAGGTAGTTTTGATATGTCAACCAACAGTAGCCCTATCCTGCTGGATGCCCTTATCCTAGGAGCTGATGTAGCCTTGCTAGGCTCCTTTATAGCCGTTTACCACCAGGTAATCATCATCACAAGATTACCATCACAGGTGGCGTTCAGGTTAAGAAGACCCGATCAGCTGCAGGTCTATCCTTCCAAACTCTAGGATGTGTTGCTGTAGCTCGATGCCTGCATCTACTAAGTCACCCATTAGGGCTACACTTTCGACCAACCTTTATACCATTCTGGTTGTATGGCATGATGGATGTAATCACACTAACAAGAGCAGTACCTAAGGTTGGGTCATCGTCGTTAGATCCTTAATGCCGCGTCTGGTGCCTACATGATAGTATACACCACGACATGCTACAAACCATCCTATGAAGCCAAGAAGGACAATTTTGGCCACGCTTTTTTTCAAAAGATGGGAGTACCCGTAACGACAGCGGTGACCAAGTAGTAGTAGTAGGAGTGATATGAGCAGTAGCGCTGATAGTAAATAATACCTTCCATTCCTTGCAATCGTCGTTTAGGAAGTGCGTCCTCAGGTTCGGGTTCATATATATCTTCACCACAGTACTAGCATTTCTGTGGTACCTTGCTCGGAGGAGTCATAGCTCCTTTTATGTCTCCTACTTCTGCTGCTTCTATGAAGTAATATATTCCTATACTACCAATACTCCAATATCACCAGTGTTTCCCAACCTCTAGGTATTATGTGCCGTAGCCCTATTCCCTCAACTATGGATGTTCCAACAGGATAAGGTTGTATCGGCTCCATTGGCTAACTTCGTGGTCCTCACTGCTGCTAGCCGGGCATGCACTCTCATCTTCTGGTTTAGGTAGGTATCATCATCAACTGCCTTGTTATCAACTCCACTATTTCAGTTATCCACTTATATTCAAACATGCCTACCCAGACAACAGGGGTGTTCAGATGGCCAGTGAGACCCTCAACCTCCTAATCCTCAGCGACTTCCTATACTATTACTTCCGGTAAGGAGGTATTCCTTCTGCTATCATCATGCTTGTTCTATAGGTCTCGACTGCGTGGTGAGCCGCAAGTTATCTTGCCAATGTACGAGGTATAGGGCAGCTACTGGGACGATACAAGCAGCCACCAGCCTCCTAAGTAGCCTCCCCCTTGACCTGTGAACATTTCCTCTACTACTACTAGTGTGGTGCCCTTTCGCAAGCTACCATCAATATCAGTTCTGTGTTGAGTATCAGTTTCACGGGTAATACATGGGATGATGAAAACCGCTGCTGTAGGTTAGACACTGCTGCTAGACAGCAATGACTTCAGCGGTCCCTCCTACTGGTACTACTACTACAGCAGCAGTTCCAGAGGTCCGATGGATAGTGGACACTGATGCAACCAATGGAGGAGTCGATGTCGACGTTGCCAAATTCCCACCTAATTTCGGTACTAAATCGGGTGTGATAATAGAAGGCTCCTCTCGATAGAGGGAACCACAGAAACCATTGGGATAAATGCCTTGATATTCGATGGAAGTGTTAACGCTGTATTGGCAGATCGTTCCAACGTGGCAGAGGGCGGTAGTGGATTCAGTAACGTCAGCGATGATGCAACACTCACGAGCCAACGTACGAAGGTTAGAGTGGAGTTGGAGATTGGTGAAAAGAAGAACTTCAATGCTTTCAAAAAGAAGGAGGAACAAATTCGGACTGTACGGGGAAGCCTCCATTGTATAGGGCACTTTGTCTAGCAGGCACGGTACGATGAGGAGGACTCGATGACGTTGCGAGGGGCTTCCCAAGGTAGGAGTATCAGGGAGGTGGCGAATTTATGGTATTGATTATCAGGCTCTAGCGCTATCTATTGTGGCCGACCAACTGCCAATGACACCTCCTGTTGGTTCTCACTAAGTGTTGACCCATCCAACCCTGGTATATATAGACTAGCCCCTGTTCGGAAGTAGGGTTTTTGTTCACCTGGCAGCATTATACTAATTCGGGATTCTTAGGTGGCATGAGTTCCGCCCGCTCACGGGTGTTGAGCTCCGTATGGCTAGAACCGAGGCTCCATCTGATGTTGCTGCTGCTCCTAGTGGTAGGCTCATGAGGAGAGTCGTTGTAGCTCATCCGCCCCCCGTTAGCTACTGCTGATGGTGGCGTTACAACGAAGTCGTCTAGAGTAAAAGAGGAGACGGAAACTGAGATAGCCGAACAGGTTATGAAGAAGCAACGCTTGGCCGATAAGAATGATGAAAAGAGGTATGGGGCGCTCATGAATAGGGATGAGAAGAGTTGTGGACTAGGTTCATACGAATGAGGGCGGCTATCGAACTGAAGAAGGCTAAGGTAAAGGGTGGGGAGACAGAAGAGGGATACGATGCCGAGAGTAAGGCGCCATCATGTCCAGAATTATCAGCACTAATCATTTGCTCAGAGGCGGCCCGAAAAGAGGCTAAGCGTCGGCTGAAGGCATCGAAGGCAGCCAAGCACGATCTAGAGACGAAAGATGTAGTCGTGGTGGCGTGCTGTTGCTGCTGCTGGTGTAGTGGTGGTGGTGATATAGTAAGGTCAGGTACCTGGCTCCAGTCTGAGCGTGGGCAAGCTGTATGCAGTGAAACATGATGATGAGTGGGAGGGCAATGAGGATTTCAGTAGGAGGGGTCAAGTGTGGAGGGCTTAGGCGGGGGTCTTAGGTGATGATGATGAACTCTTGGATGATCCCGATGCTGGTAATGAAGTCCAGATAGAAACTACAGGGGCAGTTGATAAGGAGAAGGAGAAGATGAAAGAAGTATGGCTAGCCCGGCAGTCTGCAACTTACAGCCTCCTTTCCCTAGGCTAGGACGGGGAGAGACTCTGATAATGAGTCCTCAAGCTCGAGCGATAGTGAGGATGAACAGGCGACCTCACTGGGCAAGGCTATTACGAGTAGGGGCTTGCTAGGACCATCACTCAACTCGATGATGATTGCCCGTCGTAGGTATAATGGAAAAGGAAAGGAATAAGGAGGAGGTCCGGAAGGAGGGCCTGGCAGATGTAGGCCATCGGCCACTCTTGCTTGGTTAATCGATGCCATCATTAGGTGGCATTGGATGATGAGCTATTACAAACTGGTGTTGATCCTGATGAGATTGATGATGATGCTGGTCAGAATGATGACAAGACTCGGAAAGATACTTCAGCTTCAGCTACCACGACTGGTGAGTATATACGTACTATCCCCTGTTGGCAACCTAATCCTGTGTAGCTGTCAAGGCCAACAAGCCGTCCAAACAGGATGAGATGGTGGAAAAGGTGACAGACATCCTCTTTCCAACTATAGAGTTCAACATGTTACTCTCAGCTTAAACAACTCTTTGCTCGAAATGAGTACCGTCTTGGCCTGAGGGAAGTTCTTGCGACGTTCCCTGGCATGAAGAAGAATAGTGAGGAGTATAAGTGGGTGAGTATATCGGCCTGAGTGCTCGTGCTAGAGTGCTGTGACACAGTGCTATTCTTTGTCATCTTTCAGCTGACCAGATCCTTAAAGGACATGGCCGAAGTGCGTGATCATTTACTGTATCTCAAGAAAGAATATCGTAAATGAGTTTCTCATCCCGAGCTGGGTTGCGTTAGTCCACCACAGTACATGGGGCTCTGAAGCATCGGCATCATAGTTCGGCTGATCGCAGTGTCGAAGTGACCATCTCAATTTGATTGAGGTGTATTGATTCGAAAGAAAGGCCATCAATTAGTAGAGATCTTGCCGAAGTAGATCATTCGGCTCTATCAAAGCGTAGTGGGAGGCTAAAGCTATTAATCATGATGGCGGCACACAGGGCCAACTGTGTTGGTACAACTGTGGATCCATCCCGCGGCAGCTCGCCCAGACAGAGATAACTCCCGACGGGTAGCGTTAAGAAACAGAGAAATGATAGTTTGCTGCCCACATGTAGCGCGATACTCCATTCACCGTTAGAAAACTTCCCTGCGGCCATCAGAAACTACGACTGTTCTCGAAATTCACAATATCCCAGAGAAAAGGAAGGGGTAGGAAATTAGCACCAGTCTCAAAAGGGTGAAGATGAATTGCTCGCGGCTATGATCATACCCCGATCGAGGCTGAAGGTCTCGTACGGGAAACTTATTAATTGGGGAGGATGCCTTCTTTACCATATCCCGGTGGGAGTATCCCCGAGCTCATTTATAACGATTCTGCCATGAAAGGATTGCTCAAAGAATCATGAATTCTTGACCGCAGTACAATAGGACTGAGAAAACACTCGACATGCTGATAGAGGATGCTGTACATTAGACTCAACAGACGGCGAAATATGATCCATTAGTGATTCCTCCTACGTATACTCGGGGCAACTGCGTGCGTCTCTCGAGCTAAACCGTCTATGCTTCATGTCGGTCAAATTACACCCCTCCACATATTCTTAGCATACATGGTGTGCAGCTCATAGTTCATCAATGAAGTCGAGTTTCACCCTGATTTTTGAATATGATAGCTTTAGTAACACTATCACTAACCTGGCAAGGTTTCAGACTCCCATTCTACTGCTATTCTGATTTACGCACTCGACGCACTTGGAGACCTCCACATATTCTTAGCATACTAGTTATGTCACTTATTCAAAAGGTAAAATGCGATGATAATATCAGACTAGAGTTACTCAATAGATGTTCAATAACTTGTTTTCCTCCCCTGCAATGCCAGGACATCAGTGAGTCGCTTCGGAAGGGAGCTTGTACAGCTTGTTATGACCTCAGGAGGAATTTGGGTCCATGCTCGAAAGACAGCCGTCCTGAGTTCCCCCTGAGTCCGAAAAATCGGTTTGTCCGGGCCATACAGAGTCTTTACCATGTAGGCCCATATACTTTCTATGGGGCTGAGGTCGGGGCTTAAGGCTGGCCAACAAGGTGGGACCACATTTCTTTCACGGAGCCAGTCGATAGTGCTCCTGCTCCCATGACAGGGAGCATTATCTTGCTGAAACGTGAGACCCACCTCTCTTAACTCTTCCCAATATGGTAACAGATGACGAGAGAGGACTTCTTGATAGACTTCGCACCCCATACCATGATACCACCGCCAATTGAAGGCTCTCTTGCTCTTGAGCTGCTCGGCACTAGAA